TAAAATATAAGGTGAGTAACAAATGCTCATAATTTTGTATTACTTTGTTTAGATCTTATTCAGTTCTATATTTTCCAAATATACTTTTCGTTTATTTTTAATGTTTACAATGTACACAAAATATGTTTTATACTAATTTTGCGATCGCATTCAATTTTGTTTGTGCGTTAGTTATTTTGTTTAAAACATAAGATTAATATTATTTTGTAATACACATAATGAATATAAACATATTATTTTGTTTTAAAATTATTTTCAAAACATATATTAACACTTATACACATATATAACTTAATATAATTTTTAATTAATATTTTATGTATAACCCACACATCGCGTGGGCAACTTTCTAGTTTGTAATATAAAAGAAAATTTGTAGATAAGATATAGTGCCGAGACACATCTCAGGTATGTGTTGATGTGCTCTTTGGGGTTGGTTTGGTGGCTTAGGCTTTGTCTTTATCATATCACTCTTTTCTCCACACAAATCTGCATATTTTATGTTATATTCTCTTGGATTTTGAGTAAACCTTCCGATATGTTTTGAATTTTCGGATCAGAGATTCGGATATGGTTAGTTCTACATTAATTTAACTATTTATATGTGTTGGTATTGTACGTAAAACTCAAAATTTATGAATTACTAGTACGTATTTTCATGGTAGTTTTTGAAAAATGTTTTAGTAGCTTTGTATTAAAGATTATTTCCGGTTAAATTTTTTTTTTCTTAAAGATGTTTGTAAAATATTTATATCAAATAATTTCCCATGTTGATATTTTCCACCTCGTTGTTGTTGTTTTTATTCTTACTAGGACTTTTTTCTGTATATGAAAATGAGAAAACTGCAACAAAAAAAGAAAAAAGAAAAAAAAAGACAGTGATCTTTTGATGAGTGTCTAACTAAAACAAAACATATGTTTTTCTATAGAAGTAATTCACTCTGTTCTTCTTCTGCACGTTCGTTAACGTTAACGTCAACGTATAAACTTACGGTCAAACTTGTACAATTCTTGGTTTGATTATAAAAATAAAAGTAAACTATGGATGATTTCTTTTGTCTATGGACCAATGGTAATCTCTCTTTAAAAGTTAGCTCCGTAATTATGACTTTTAAAAGTTCCCGATGGTAAGCAAACTTACAGTAACTTTGAAAATGTAATATATATATATATAGATCGACGAATTCTAGATTACCATAAATTTTCAGGCTAATTTTCGACGAGCGTAGTATTTCCGACGACTATAAAATTTCTGACTAATTTCCGAAAACCGTTAAAATTCGGACTAATTTACGGAGACTATAGAATTTCCGACGAAATTACGAAGACCGTAGAATTTCAGACAAATTTCCGACGATCGTAGAATTTTCAACAAATTTCCGACTGCCATATAATTGCCGAAAAATTTCCGACGACCATAAAAAATTTCAATTATATTTATTTATTTTAAAAATAATTAATTAAAAATTATCGAAAATTCGCTGAAAATTTCTGAAGAATTTCTAACGAGTTTGGTTTTAACTTTATATATATATATACTATCGACCACTTGTTTTATTCTGAAAATAAAAAATACAAAAATACGAATAATATAAGTTTCGATGAAGTTACAACGAAATCCAACGACCACAAAATTTCCGACCAAATAATTTGACAAATTTCCGACTAATTTTCATTCATCGGAAATTAGTAGAAAAATAGTTGGAAATTTGCCGGAGGTCGGAAATCGCTATGTTTTCTTGTAGTGATATGCAGTAGTCAACTTATTCCTTTTTTATGTGTATCATCATATTCAACTAATTATATCAAATAATCTAAGTATCTCTCAGAAAATAATAAAAAGTTGAGTATGTCAGAGCTTAATCTAGGTTTTGATTTGATATAAGTTGTGATATACATTATGCTACTTCTTGAATATTTATTGAAGATTAGTTGCAACACTTGAATTTTTTTGTAACAAAAGCAATAATTCAATATGTATACATAATATTTACACCAACACAAAGCATGGGAGCAAAGCTATATATATCTGATCAAATAATATTGAATTATAATTACTAGTTCTAGAATGATATAAGAATTAATAAAATTAAGAAATATGTTTGGCAATGGCGAAGGATGAGAAAACAGATAAAACAGCGAGACATATGAAAGAAAAGAGAAGGAGACTGGCCGATGCGTATCCTCTGTTGAAGAAAGTGTCTACAGGATCAGTCGAATCCAATGCGACTAATGCTAGAAATGTGTCTTTCAAATCTTTGCTCACTCCAAATCCAGCCGCTGAGCCCGTCGCCACTAGATATGATGTTACCTTGTCACCGTAAAAATCGAGTTGATAATTAAAAGGGTTTTTGATTCCTGTGGCAAATTCGGAGATTGTGAAGAACAGTTGTACGACTGCGTAAACTAGTCCAATGGCCGCAGCTGAAAGCATGTATCTTCAAGAAGGCCAAAAAACAAAACAAAAATAAACGTTTTAGTGAAAAAAAGAGAGAGAGTTATTACAAGATGAATTCAGATAACAAGTTTATCAAAAATAAAACAAATTACTTTAGTTTATAGCTTATGCCTTTCCTTAACCAACTCTATTATGTATAAATACACAAAAGGAAAATAAAAGCGAAGAGGTTTGTAAGAAATAGGTACCGTACCTATAGGCATAAACATCTTTGAAATGAAATTTCACTGCGCTTCCTTGAGATACAATGGTGACACTGTTGGTGCTGAGGATGATGAGCGCTATAACAAGGAACACACCTGTTAGAACCCTTAGAAGAAGGAGTAATACCTTCAACGAAACAGGTGGTGGCGACGGAGGTGGTGGTGCCATACAATTGATAACTAAGTACGTTGATCAAGGTGGTGTATGATGATGATCTTCTTAAAATAGGTTTCAAAAAGTATAAGATGATGAAGATAAAAAAGCCTGAGATGTTCGAATACAATACAAAAGGAATATTGCCAAATAAATGGAATTTATAATCAAAAATTGCTAGAGAGATAAGAGTTGACTTTTGTTGCTCTCTCTATGGCATGGGACCAAGTAATGACGGTAATTGTCAAACAAACAAAATTATATACCAAAGTTTATTGTTGAAGTCGTGCTGAAACTGGATTACCACGTCTAGCTTAATTGACGTATAAAATGTGATCAATATATGTTTTCCTAGAATATTTTTCATATAAAACCTCAGCAGACCTTAATTTAAGTTGAAAGAAGCTTGCGAGTTGCGAGGATATATAAACTAAGCTCAGTCCTTGATAAGCTGCTAGGCTGATAATTCTGTATATATTATTCTTTTTCATTTTTTCTATGTGCAATAATTATTCTTTAATGAAAAAAAGAAAAGTATATGCAATATTAATCATTTACGAAAAAAACAAAAGAGAGTTTGACTACGGGACGAAGGGATTCTTATAACACGGCGTCCAATTTAGCGATCAACGTTCACATTCACTACTAGTTTTACATCGCTGGTTTCAAAGAGTTTGGAGTCGAGTTATACAATTTCTCAATTGTTAACGAATTGAGAAATTTGCACACGGAAGGTTTGGTCAACGAAGACTGAAAACGTTGAGTAAGCTCCTAAAGATATATCAAAGATTCGATGGTGATTGTGAAGACACAATTATAACAATTTAAGGATAAGGATTACTACCTTGGATGGAATAGGTGCATCGTTGTTGTGCCTTGCTAATTATGTAAATTGTAATTTTTATGTACCTTTTTAAAAATAAAACGGAGAATATATATAAGTGGGAATATTGAAGATAATACTAGTTGTTAATTAATCAACCAAATATATCACGTTGACTAGAAATATAGGAGTTGATGTTTTGTTTTTGATGTCAACGTCAAATGTTTTTATTTTTCTTTCTTTTTTCCTACAAAATTCGTAAAACGCTATAATTTTTGCCTTAAGAGTCGTGAATCGTGATGGACTCGACCACTGCGTATAACTTAAAACTGAATTATGTAAATACAACGTTTTTCGAATTAAGGTGTAATGGATGGTGGTGTGTCTACATATTATTATTCATTGATGGTGGATGTTATTGGCTAGTGGCTACACACGTTTACAGAAACAGTAATACAAATAATAACCTTGCGAGCTATGTAACCATAATAAATATTTTGGTAACGTGACCAAAGAATCTTAAAAAGCATAAAATTTTATTGAATTCCACGTTTGGTGGGAGGGAGAACCATGAATTTAGAATGAAGGAAGCATTGCATATGTAGGGGTTACAATGATATATGTGTGTTTCTTATGAGACTTGAATTGGTCGCTTGGAAAGAGCAAGGGATGAGAAAACGGATAAAACGGCAAGAGACACGAAAGCCAAGAGAAGAAGACTGGCCGCTGCGTATCCTTTACTGAAGAACTCATCCACAGGATCGGTCGAATCAAACGATATAAATGCTAGAAATGTGTCTTTCAAATCTTTGCTCACTCCAAATCCAGCCGCCGAACCCGTTGCAAGTAAATATGACATTATCTGTCCAAATTTTCACAAAAACATTAACAACATTTCTTTTTTGATTCTAATCAATGCGTATGACCACTCTCATAGTGAATACAACTTAGCTATATATATACTAGAGATATAAAATGGACCAAGTTAAGATCTTATCTACAAACATGAGCTGTTATGACTTTTGTTTACATAAAGTAAACTACCTTATCACCGTAGAAATCGAACTGATAGTTAAGAGGATGTGTAGTCCCGGTGGCGAATTGGGAGATTGTCAAGAACAGTTGTACAAGGGCGTATAGTAGTCCGATGACCGCCGCAGAGAGCATGTATCTTTATATACAGTTAACCAAAAAAAAAAGTAAAAAAGAGTTTGTAAAATTTCCATTTTTTTTGCCAGTAGTAAAAGTTTCCTTTTTATATGTTAAAGAAAAAGGAATTGTCACAAGATCCAAAACTGATTCCGAATATAAAAACACATGTAAAGAAAAGAAACATCATTGGATTTAATATTTACCTATAAGCATACACATCGTTAAAACGCAATTTTATAGACGTTCTTGAAATCTCGAGGGTGACGGTGTTGGTGCTGATGAGGATCACCGTTATGAGGAGTAAAGCTGCCGTCAAAACCCTAAGGAGGAGGAGTACTGTCCTCAACGTAACCGACGGCGGTGAAGGAGGTGGTGGAGCCATATATATTAATTTTCCCGTTAATAACAAGTTTCACTTTGAAGATTATAAAGATGAAGATGATTAAGGTTGAGATGTTCGATTGTAATGGTGACTTATTTATAGCCAAAAATATTACGTTGACTCGAGATTGAAGAGTTGATTTTTGTTAAAGTCAATGCCAAACAAAATAATATGGATTACAATCTTTAACTCTATAATATATGCACAGATTGTATTCTTCAAGTCGTGCTGTAACTTGCTGGAACTCAATCAGCACTTCTAACTTAGTTTTAAAAATGGTATAGTCTTTTATAATTTTGAACCAGATTTTTTTTCTTAGTCAACCAAATTTCACGGCTAAGCTCGTAGTTCCACTAGAACAAGACTAGCCATTGGTACTATCTTTATTAGACCGTAGTAAAAAGATGTGCGATTAGGGTAACTTGATATGCATATGATCAAACTCATTAGATTTCTAGTTACAAAACTCGAGTTAGACACCTAGTAGAGATAATTGAAAGCGTGTTTTTCCCATCTAAATATGGACTTTAATTTTAGTCGTCTATCATATTTAGGTGCAGTCATTATGTAATAAGAGTTGACTTTAAGTCGGCTACATACATGTATGCCAGCCCACTGGTTTAAAATGAAGTCCCAAAAGAAGAGGTTCCTGTAACATTGCGTACAAGTTTTTGCAATCAAAGAAAGCTCTTCCAATTTTTTTCCTGTAATTTCATATAGTCAACGAAGACTGGAAAGATATGAGTCAACTCCTAATTAGAATCGTAGCCACATGCGTCGCCGCTTCCAGCGCCTACTTAACTTCTTCGCACAATATTTCTGGTTGTCTTGATTTTTCAAGTAAAGATTTACATAATTGAAAATTATCATATATTTTTTTTTATAACTTTTGTTTCATGCATCCGTAAAAATACTCTGATTCTAAGATTTTTTTTTTTTTTTTTTTTGCTAAAGCATTTTCTAAGATTTGAAAACCTACACTAGCTAGAAACGACCAACATTGTTTACAACCATGGCCATCTGAAAACCTTATTCTAAGATTTGTACGGGACTATACATATAAACATTTACAACCATCAATTTAATTTAACAATATCTTGGATTTGATCCAACTTAAAAGCATCTAAAGAAGCTTAAATAGAGCTTGGGAAAAAGCTTAAACAGACCAAGTCTATGAAAAAATCTAACATGATTACATGAAGGGAGAGTTTCAGTTTAGGCTTAACTGCTTAAGTACTCTACCTCACTTGCATGCATGGGCGTTAATAAATCCGTCTATTCGTGCCATACTAATATCTATACTTTGAATTTTTAATAAATATAGTAAAAAAAAGAAAAGGGAACTCAGATAGCCGCTGGCAGGAGAACCGGACGAAATACGACGAATAGTGGCGGCATGTTGGCTGTTAATGCCATGGCTGTGCTGGCCGGCGAGGAATATTGCGGATATGGTAGCAACAAAGCCTTCAAAATACACTTAAAATTTAAAACCCGTCTTAATTTGGGGGGTCGTCGTCTGTCGGGGTTTCTCTTTTTGAAGAACAACATTTTAGTGGCCAAAAGAGAAATACCTTTTTGATCGAATGGTTTGTGTGATTACATGAACGTGAGAGTGAATAGAGAGTGGTGTGGTACTGTGGTTGCACGGTGCATGTTTAGCCCCATGCGAAACGATGCGTTTAAATGAATGTTGAGCTCCCTACGGACCATACCTCTACGTAGTGTCACTCTAAATCTAATGCCTTGTTGTTGTTTTTTTTGGTTTGTTACACTTTCTTCACCTCTTTGATTAAAAACATTATATGATTTTCTCACCTTAATAAAAAATATTATTATTTATGTGATTTAGCTTTTATTAGACGTGAAAATGAATTTAATGATTTTTTTGGGACAAAAGATATCTTAATAAGTTATAACTGAAAACTGCCCCAAAAAAGGTTTTCTCAGAAAAACACCATGCTGTCCGGAATTTATACAACATAACGTCGTGTCGTTTTCGAATGTCAGAAGCCGCAGATCCAAACTGTTTACTTTTCCTCTACGAGAAAGCAAAGGTGTGAGATTCGTTGACTCACACAAGACCGGAGAACGAAGCTATGTCAGAGACCGCCGTTTCAATCGACTGGGACCGAGCTAATTCGGAGGATGAAGAAGAAAATTACGATGATGACGAAGAAGACTATTCGTCTCCGGCGCAATCATCTCCGCGGCCACCACCGTCGGCGAATTTCGAGAAAGATCGACACTTGGTGTATTTGGAGATGATGTACGAGTTGCTTCCGTACCATTACCAATCTCAGGAGATCAACCGTCTCACCTTAGCTCACTTTATAATCTCGGGTCTTCACTTTCTCGGCGCAAGAGATCGTGTTAGTCTCTCTGATCTTCAACTATCAATATTCAATTTTGTGAACTTCATCTGCAAAGTTTTGTGTTTTTTTTTTCTTATTTAATTTCGTTGGTGAAGATTGACAAAGATGTGGTTGCAAAGTGGGTTTTGTCCTTCCAGGCCCTGCCTAGTAACAGAGTTTCACTAAAAGATGGTATCTTTCTCGAATTTATCCACAAGCATGTTTATGAGCAAGTTCTAAGTTAGCATGTGATCAGTGAATGAGTTTTTGTTCTTTACTTTGTTTCTGCAGGAGAATTTTATGGTTTCTTTGGTTCAAGGAGTTCTCAGTTTCCCAAAGATGAGAATGAGGTAACAAATAACAAGTCTATATTTTTTTAATGCTTTCCACATTACAAGATGTAGTTTTGATTGTCTTTGTTTTGCATCTGTGGAACAGGATTTTTTAACTCACAACAGTAGTCACCTGGCAAGCACTTACTGTGCATTGGCCATTCTGAAGGTCACTGGACATGATCTCTCGACCATTGACTCTGACTCATTATTGTTGTCCATGAAAAACCTCCAACAGGATGATGGAAGGTATTAGTTTTTCAAGCTTAAAAAGCACAATGCTTTTGTAACTCCATAAATTTATAACTTATTTGCTTAGTTCGAAGTCTTTTGAGCTGGTAATCTTTCCTTACTTGCCTCTGAAAAACTCCGGGAACCTTTGTTTGCAATATTCTCATTTACAAGGTGCAACAAGTTTGGCTACTATTGTGCAATGGGGTCTAAATTTGGTTATTCGTTTTGCTACAGCTTCATGCCTATCCATATTGGAGGTGAAACAGATCTTCGATTTGTATATTGTGCTGGTAAGGAGTAGCTACATAAGAGGATTTAATGTCTTTATATTTGGGGTAGAGGATCATTTTTGTTTCTTATTTGTGTATCAGCTGCAGTTTGTTACATGCTGGATAATTGGAGTGGAATGGACAAGGAGAAGGCTAAGAACTACATATTAAACTGTCAGGTTTATTTCTGTTCTTATAGTTGCTTTGTCTTTTCTTCCATTGTTATTTGTTAATTTCTGTGTGAAGAAGACATTCTTGTGAAACCTTCTTTTTGCAGTCATATGATGGTGGTTTTGGATTGATCCCTGGTTCTGAATCTCATGGTGAGTTGAAAACAATTCTTATACAATTTTACGGTTGATTTTTTCGATGTGCAGTCCAACTACGTAGCACATATGTGAATGGGCTAGAAATTGTTACTGAATTGGTCTTGGAGCACACTGTAAATAACTAAGCTGTTTCATTTAGGTTTCTACTTCAATGGCTACACAAAGAAAAAACCTTAACTATATTCTTATGTTGTGAGGCGTTGGGGTTTACTTGTCCCCTCGTGTATGATGCTTACCTATGTTCTGCAACTTAGTTATGCAGGTGGTGCTACTTACTGTGCTGTTGCGTCCCTTCGGTTGATGGGATTTATCGGAGTTGATCTACTGTCAAGTGATTCATCCAGTTCAGTCATAGACCCTTCATTGCTCCTCAACTGGTGCCTACAGGTACTGCTTCATATAATCTGTCTAATTGACCTGATAATATTAGCTTTGTTTTGTAATGATCCTGAGTTATCTGATGGTTTTCCTTACCTTGCCTATAGAGACAAGCCAATGATGGTGGGTTTCAAGGTAGGACTAACAAGCCGAGTGACACATGCTATGCATTTTGGTTAGTCCCCTCAAGTCCTCAACCTTAACTGTCACTGGTTCTAAACTGTTCTCATCCACTTATAACGCATATATTTGTAGGATTGGAGCTGTCCTTAGACTCATAGGAGGCGATGCATTGATTGACAAAATTGCTCTGCGGAATTTTTTACTGAAATGTCAGTCCAAGGTAACTCTTCTTCTACGTCTCATATATCTCAGTTGAAACTAAGCTTATAGTTATTTAGCATTAATACTGATAGCAGCCTATGGAGCCAATAGGATAATAGTTTGGTACATTGTCTTTACTCATGTGTTTACAATTTCATTCATCATCTATTACTGGTGATAACAATGTGATTAACGTCGCCATTGCTCTTGCATGCTTGTGTGTCCAGTATGGTGGATTCAGTAAATTCCCGGGACAGTTACCGGACCTGTATCATTCATACTACGGTTACACTGCTTTTAGCCTCTTGGAGGAACCGAGCTTAAGCCCTCTGTGTCCAGAGCTAGGGTTACCTCTTTTTGCAGCCTCTGGAATTTGATGTTTAGATTGCCTCAAAAGTCACATTCTTGATTCTTCTATCACCACATTGTAACATTTTACTCTGTTTCAGCAGTTAATTCATGTTGGAATATTTAGTTATTGATTATTGGCTCTCAATATGGTAATTTTAATCTAACGAAAATCAAATTTCATAGTTGAGTATGATTTTATTTAATTTCTTAGAATTAGACATAGGAAACAAAGGATCAAAATATTAAAAAATCATAAATCTGTAGAAATGTGTGATTTGGCAAAGAAACAAAAAGACAATTTAGAAGAGACATAGTTTTTGCAGTTTCACTCTTGTGAACAAGTGAGTGGTGTTGTTGACGCCACTTGGATGAAAAGCATCAGACACAAACTGCAAAAATTGGGACAAAATACTAAAGGGAAAGAGATTCCCCACTTGGTCCTTCGCGAGTCTTGTCTCTATTCACAAATCGTCTTATTCCAATTTACCGGTCGATGTTCAAAGTTTCATTGCCGTAAAAAAGAAAGAATTATTCTTACTATGGTGGCGTTTCGAAGCAGCTGATCTCGAATATATCAAATTTTAGATTAGTAATATTTAATCTCTTTCACTTTTTTTTTTCTTTCTCTTCACGTGTTATGTTTACCTTTCTAACTCCATATTCGATACAAAATATTAAAGCTCGTTCAGAACTAATCCCTTTTTAAAAGTGAAAAAGTCGGTTTAGGATAAGAGGTGCTCAGTTCATGCATCTTTAAATGTCAACCACAACACAACAATAGTAGTGGTAAACTATGCTATATAAAAGAACATAGAATCCAAAGCCAATCTTCTTTATTCGAATGAGTTGACTGAAATTACACAAGTTTGGCTTAAACAAATTCTCTCTATCAATCGAAAAATTTACAACCGGTTAATCCGATGACAAACCAAAAACATTCAGACCAAAAAAAATGTTGATGTTTAATGACAATGATATTAAATCAGACCAAAAAGCCGGTTTAATTCTACTTTGGTTTCTGTCTCAAAGACCTCATCTTCTTGATTGAACAAATCCGATTTCTTGAACTGTGTTTTGCCAATTTGTAGCCCTTTGAGCTCACTCGGTTTCAGCAATCTCCATAGCTTTCTTCTTGTAAAGCTTCTCCTCTGCGTCTCTTAAGAACTTGAATCTCGACAATGGCGAAGATGACGACGATGATGGTGAATGTGATGATGACAATGGCGATGATCTCACTAGCCTATTAAACTCAGCATCAGACGAAGTCTCGAAGAAGCTCGAGATCTCTTCTTTTCTACTACCATTACAAGACTCCGTTAGTAATGGAGTTAAAGGAGGCGTGAACAAGGAAGGAGAAGCACGAGGAGTAAGATATGGAGGAGTGATGACACCACTTTCCATATTAAGAAACAAATCATTCAAACTCTTTCCTTTTGTGGAAACCACATCTTCAGATTCCATTTCCTCCACTGTCTCCTCCATGATTGTGAACAGAAACCTCGGCACGAGCCCTGGACCACACACATTCCCAAACCCATCATCATGAGGAAGAGACTGCTGTTCGGTTTCAATGGGCTTAGGGTGTGAGAAGGGAGAAGGAGATGAAGAAGAAGAAGAAGGGTTTGTTGTGCTACTGCAACAGAAGATGAAGAGAAGCTCTCTGGTTCCAGGGGTAGAATAGTCATTCCGAAAATCAGGTCTCGTCGTCGACCTCTTCTTGCACCAGAGCAAGTAATAGAGCTCAGCGAGAAGAGCTAATAGCAAACAACCAAAGACTATGCTTAGAGCAAGTCCAACACTGCTCAAAGATCTCATCCTTCTTCTTCTTCAAGATAAGATTCACATCTCTTACTCGTCATTAAACCCCAAACACAAAGAGAAGGCCTTGTTTTCTAGATTCGACCCAAATGTGAAATGTGGAAGGAACAGAAACTATGGAGGCTTTGTCTAGATATGATTCGTGGAAAAGAAGAGAAAGGGTTTTTGCAGAAACGAAACTTAGATTTGAGTTGGGGATGAAAGAAGAGCGGAGAATGTGGAAATAAATAATTTCCTAAAATAGGTGTGTTTATATAGCTAGCCAAGTGTGGAAGTGAAACTCACTCATATTTTAGAATCAATAAAAATGCACAAGTGAATACGAAGTTTCACCCTTCAATGAAAGACTCTAGTTAGTAGTTACCACATTAAAAAAAACAACATATTTTTAAAAAAATCTATATTATGACTGTACCATTGATGATCATGAATGAATCAAACTACAAGCATCATTTTGGATATGGCAAAGAATAGTTCTACCGACAACTCCATAACGAACAAATCTATTGGTACCATAAAAGCTACGAAAGACGACTCACTATCGAGTTATAACTCAAGACGAAGGAGACATACACTTTTGAAAATTTCAGTTTCTCTAGTTAACTTAAAAGTTAAAACTTCTTTTCATCTTCAAATAGTTTCCCCTTCAAAACATCAAACATGGATAGGCCCTTTAAGGCCTCAACCCATGTGATGTGACGCATATATATGCAGAGTAACTTTATATGTGAAGTTGAAACTGACTAAAACACAATTAGCAATTAATAAATAAAAACATAAATGAAGTAGAGTGAGATAAGATTTGTTTGTTTTGCGGTTCTCTTCATTCATGTTTGATTGATATCAAGGTCAGAGTCAGAAGAAGATGATTAGTCCACCAAATCGAAGTGTCAGTGACTCAACCTCAATTATATAGTTTCGTGTTGTCATGCATCAACAATATTACCTAGCCTCTTCCATCAACCAATCATACGTTTTTTAATGTTTTCTGTGGTATGCTAGTAGCATTGATATTATTGATATCCCATTTTGTGTGTTTGTTTTCGTCATATACCACTTGATTAATTCTTTTCATCACTTTATGTTCTCGACTTCGTGGATTGAAGCAATTATTCTTTGATTTCCAATGCATCAAAATCGATATATTTACTTTAGATTTGTTTTACTATTTTCATCCCTAAATAGACCTTCCAACATTTTTGCAAGCTCTGTTGTTCTATTCATAAGTATGAATTTCGATGTGTTTGTAGATGCATTTGGATGTGATGAAGAACCTAACCAAATTTTCATCACATTTGTCTTTGAGATTTTCACATATGATTTTCGAGCTAGTGTGAGTATAAGATGAGTATATGGACTGATCAACGGGTCATCAGGTCGAGTATAATAGCCAGCAATGGTAAGCCACTTTGCAACATCTCTCATGCATATTTTAAGCATTAGTTTTGCGAACAATAGTTTGAAAAAAGTCTTGTTAATGTCAAACTTTTTTTTTTTAAAGAAATGAAGTTTTAGCTAGTTTACATTCATAAAAGAGAAGAAGCATGGGTTTGGACTCTTCCAATATTATTTAGAAAAGGTGGCGAAATGGCTAATTCAGGATTAACATGGTGAAGACAAGCACATGAATGATATAAAAATCATGTGACTTGTTAAATGCATTTTGGATTCTAAAGGTAGACCTAAGAAATTTTTATCCAAGAAATTCACAACTTTTTTGTTTTTTTTTTTGTTTTTTTTTTTTTGTCTTGTGTAAAAATTAAAACGTTTACACGCTATATTTAAATTATGATAGAAAAGAACGAATGATTTAAGTCATAATCAAATCTTTATCCAATCACAAAAAGTTTGACTGCACATCAAATTTTGCAAATTACAAAAGTTCAGTTATCGTGATTACATTATATTCAACAAAACCATTATTAACAATCCATGCATCCCACATGTCATACTACTTTGAGATTTGCATTTCCTTTAAAACACGCCACAAAATAAAATTAACAAACTAATATTTTCTTTCTATAACTTCAATTAAGACACACAAATTTAACCAAATAAAAAAATTAGAACCACTTTAGTTCCCCACTCATATGATTTTATTAGTGTATATTGTGAATCACAATGATATGATATGTTAATAATTGAATTAAAAACAAATACGCATATATTAAAAAAAAATCTTAATTATCCATCTACCTTAAAATCTACGGACCGCGGCGTCTTACAAATAATACAGCTTGGTCTTATACAAAATCCCGATAATACCCTCTTATACGTACGTGTTCATTACCCAACCCATGCTTTTTTCTTTTCTTACGTGTGTATGACTAGACACGTAGGTCCCACTCTGCACCAAGACAACTCTTTTAACCTAAAAACAAAAAATAAAACATATTTTTAAATTTTCCTTTTTTTTTTTCTTTTTTTAAGAGTTCTTCTTTCTTCTTCATATATATCTTTTCGTTTCTTCTTCCTTTTTTCTCCCCGGAGAAAAATCTTATTGTTTCCTCTGTTCGGTTGGGCACAGCTATTGTTTGGAATCCGGAACGTTGGAGGAGGATAGCTAAGAAATGGGAATTCTCAACGACGACGCCGTTTTAGTCGAACCTGGAAAACTCTCCGGCGATCCCACCATCGTTACCGTCAATTGTCCTGATGAATCCGGTTTAGGTTCTACTCTCTGTAGAATCATCCTCGAATTCGGTCTCTCCATTACCCGAGCAGGTCTCTTTCTTCTTTTTGACTTATGTTTTGACTTCGTTCGTTATCCTCTCTTTTTCTCGTTGGGGGAGAATTTGGAATATACTCTGTTGTTTGTCGTTTTACCTTTACGAATATTCTTATTTATGTTCCAGACTTGGAGATTCAAAATTCTGTTTTTTTTGTTCTTAATTATGGGGGGGGGGGGGATAATTAATTCGAATTTACTGATGAGATTCTGATGATTTGCAGATTTTTCAACGGATGGGAGATGGTGCTATATAGTGTTTTGGGTTACTCCTGATAACAGCTCTCCTAAGATTGATTGGAACAGTTTAAAGAATCGTCTTTTATCTGCTTGTCCTTCTTGCCTCGGATCTTTCTACTTATCTCTTCAATCCAATGTCTCTAAGCCTCCTTCCCTTTATCTTCTCAAGTTCTTTTGCCGTGACAGGAAAGGCTTGCTTCATGGTATGTGATTGTTGTTTTCCTGTATGCAAAGTTTTGTCCTTTCGTCTGATTTTTTAAAGATGGTTGATTAGAATTTTGTGCTCTTGTTTTGGTGGTTTGTAGATGTTACTAAAGTTCTGACTGAGCTAGAGTTTACGATCCAAAGAGTTAAAGTCATGACAACACCAGACGGAAGAGTTTTGGATATGTTTTTCATCACTGATGCAATGTGAGTTTTTTAAATCTCATTCTGATGTTTTAATGTGAGAAGAAACGTTAGCATTGTGGTTTTCTAATAATATTCTTGTTGTCTTTATATATATAACAGGGATCTGCTGCATACTAGACAGAGGCAAACCGAAACGTGTGATCATCTAACGGCTGTGTTTGGTGAGCATGGTGTGAGCTGTGAGCTTGAATTGGCTGGTCCTGAGTTAGAAAGCATGCAACGGTTCTCTTCACTTCCACCTCTGGCTGCTGATGAGCTGTTTGGCCCAGATGGGTCTGATATTCGCGGCTCTAATTCCAACAAAGCTGTTCTTACGGTTGATAATCACCTGAGCCCTGCTCATACGTTGCTTCAGATTCATTGTGTTGATCAAAAGGGGCTCTTCTATGATATCCTCAGGACGTCCAAAGACTGCGATGTCCATGTAAGTAAAGACCTTTGTCTATCAACCTTAAGAGAGAACCTATACCTTGCCACTATTCTGTTTCTAGAAATTATGACTTCTATAGGCCTGTTCCTTGGATTTGGTTGAAAGATTCGTCGAACTCAAGTACTACTTGTTTCTTTATCCAGATTGCATACGGTAGATTCTCCTCAAAGGTTAAAGGCTACCGGAATTTGGACTTGTTTGTTCGAGGTACTGATGGGAAGAAGATAGCGGACCCAAAACATCAAGCCAACTTCTGTGCTCGACTTAAGGAGGAAATGGCGTGTCCTTTGCGAGTGATAATCGTGAACCGGGGACCAGATTCTGAGCTATTAGTAGCCAACCCTGTGGAACTATCTGGAAAAGGAAGGCCGCGAGTTTTCTATGATGTCACCCTCGCGTTGAAGTCACTTGGAATCTGCATTTTCTCCGTTAGTATATCAAGTCACAATATTTTTCTAAGCTTTTAAGCTGTTATTTTGTTCTAATTTGAAATTGTGTTTTCTTGTAGGCTGAGATTGGGAGGCATTCGACTTTAGACCGACAATGGGAAGTTTATAGATTTCTTTTGGATGAGAGTCGTGAATTGCCGCTGGCTAGTCTTCGTGCGAGAAATCAGATAGTGGATAGAGTCACAAAGACACTTATGGGTTGGTGAAAGTTAATCTGAGACAGTGGAAGAGAGCTTTCATGAACATTATTCTACTCGAGGGGCCAAAGATTTCTGAGTCTTCGCCTGCAGCTTCGGGTCAATGATGGGATTGCGATTTGGAGTTTGTGTGGAGCTAATGGTGTTGTAAAGCTTTTGAAAGTGTAAAAGGATAATAGCGCACTTGCAATGAATGCTTGTAAACTTAGTTTGCAAAAATTTAATCGAATCTTGCGACCTTTGAGCTTTGACAAGGTGGTCAATACAAGCACATGGAGTCACAGTGTGTGTTGAATGTGCGAGACTGGACCTGAGCCACGTTCGAAACGTAGACTTGCACATGAAGGTAGGGGTTATACACATACGATGGAAATAATATGGTGATTAGACAAGTCGTATATAAAATCTAGATTAGTTTTGTGGAGGCTACTACTGCCACGAAATTTGTAAGGTCTTCTGGTCTAGTTGCTATCAATAAAGAGAAGTACCAATCTAAAGTATTTGTTCTAATCCATTATTTAATCATACTTCAAATTTGTTTATTTTATATGGTCAATTTATATATACTACATCTAATCTAATACTAGTAATCCTGTATGAATGATGAATTGAAAAAAATTGACTGAGTTGAAGAAGTGAGAAAAATCGCCAATTAATTCATTGACAAATTCATAATTATGGAAACTGAGATTTAACGAATTAACAGTTTTTAAAAAATAAAGAAAAAGAAAAACAGAACGCGTTAATCGAAGCGGTAGGGTTAAATTCGTCGTTTCGTAATCCTCCGGTGTGGCTCCATCGGCGGCTAAAAGTAAATAATCCAGAGGTCCCATCACTACGGAAGCTGTGACTCTCCTCCTTCGATATCTTTAGGTTTTGGAAATTCATAGGCGAGAGCCGAGGAAGATGACGACATTAACCACCGGGAAACATTCTCCGGCTACCGGAAAAGAAGAAGGCGAGCTCTCCGCCTCCGACGAAGAAGTATTGTTCTCTCCCTAACAAAACTCTATTATATCTCTTTTAACTCTATAATTTCTATATTCTCCTATAGAATCTGGTTTCTGTTTTCTCTCGATTTGCGTCTTTTTGAGATCTGCCTCTGGGTTCGCTTCTTCTCGAACTTGTATGGGTTTATAGATTTTAGCCTATGCTTCTTGAGCTTATTTCTTAATGATCATTAGATTTTATAGCTTTCGTGTTGCATTTATTGTGTCAATCCACTGTTTCTAAATGTTTTTTTTTTTGATCAGTCAATCTCAAATTTTTTTCTTTCTCAGGTACAGCCAATGGAAACAAGCACGAGAGTTCCTCTTACGGAACATGTATCAGTTCCTTCAGCTAACACAAATATCCAAAGGCGTCAAGCTGGTAAATATATTAGCTCTTAACTTCATCTGAAACTCTGTATCTACGTGTGTTTTGGATTGGTATTTACTCTATGGGAGCTTCTGATGCTTCACCATATTTCTAGAATACAGGATATTGTAGATGTACACATACTTTAATCAGTATCAAACTATTAGAGCAGATAGTTAGTGCCCATTGGAAATGAATGTACAACACTACCAATGTGTTCTCTGCGGTGCATTTATCACGTGTGAAGCATGAAATCTCCTGCCTTTGGAATTTCAATGTAGAGGAAATTTCAAGTCGTTTGAAATCTCTTCTTAATGGAAGTTGACTATGAAACAAACTCATTGGTTTTTTTTTTTTTTTTTCTAACTCGTCAGGAAATGGTGGATATATGATTAAACCTTCTGGTGATGCTACACCCTCAAAGCTGACCCACCCTGGAGGCCGTATATTTGAGAAGAAGCAAGCTATTGCTGCCATTCATGGGAAGAAATTTCCTGCAAGGGCCAACGACAGCAACCTCGTGATAAACTTCTCAAATGATGATAGTGGTAGTGAATCTGATGGTAAAGGAAGGACACAGACATCAAAGATTCAACCAAAGGGAACCATGTCTGGGAATGGAAAACCATCTACATTTTCACAAGCAAAATTGAAAGGACCAAGACAAACATTGTCAACTAGCACCTTTAGTCATGCTGCAACGTCCAAATTTTCTAACCTTTCATCTGCTAAGGAAATGAAATCCGTTAAAAATATTCATACCTTTGTAAGGACGGTTAACAAAGATACTCGGCGTCCTGAACAGATTGTGGATCCCAATAGCAACAAACTTCAAGATTTAAAGCAGCAGATTGCGCTTCGGGAAAGTGAGCTGAAACTTAAGGCTGTGCAGCCAAAGAAGGATGTTGTTAACCCAAAAAGCAGTCCAGCAAGGAGAGTCAATATTATTGCTGATGATACTAAACAGCTAGAACCAAACGAACCTGCCAAGAAGCGCTTAAAAATTAGTGGAATCGACCCAAGTCAGCCTGTTATTGAATGTCGAGTGCCAGCATCTGCTGCTGCACCAATGAATGCGCCAGATATCCGTAAAAGTCTACTGCCAGGTGATTCTAAAAGGCAACCATTGAATATGCTACTGGCTGTTTCACTTAAACTCTATCTTGGATCAAAAATTAAGTGTTTAAACTTTTTCCCACATCTGATATCACCGGACTCTGATGTTATTTGCAGGCGTCAATGCAAATCCTATTAGCAAACACCTCGGAAGTAACAGTGATGAGATTGTTCCACCTATTATTTCTCAGCATACTGTAGAAGGAAATACAAGCTCAAGTGCCTTACAAAGAAGCACTGTACGTGTCACCATGGTTTTGTGTTTTATCCTTAATTAGAATTGAAAAATTCATCTCTAAGATTATTTTACCAGGCTACTTTCGGGCCAGGATTTTTCTTTATTTAAGCGTATTTATTTTTATTGCAGGGTAAGGAAAATCATTACGAAGGTGGAAGAGAACTGGAAAGAATGAAAACTGTTGATGGGAGCATGTCAAATGATCAGTTACTTAAAATAATCAATGGAAATCATCAGGTTTTTTCTAGATCCTTATATAATGACTTGGAGGCGGCTAGTAGAATTTTGTGATCCTTACTTTCTTTCTCTCTTTTTTTTTCCCCTGCTCTTAATTAGCCTTGTTTAAATAATTCTGGTCTCTGGAACATCCCGGGAAATACAACAGCTCCTGGACATAGTCAACTGGATATGCTATCTTTGACGAACCTAGAGGAATCGCTTGACAAAGAGTTGGAGGAAGCACAAGAACGTAAACGCCGTTGTGAAATTGAAGAAATGAATGCTCTTAAGGTTTATAGAAAGGCACAGAGATCTTTGATTGAAGCAAACGCCAGATGTGCAGAACTTTACAGTAAGAGAGAAATTTTATCTACTCATTATGGATCTCTCATTGTCCACGACTCCAGATTGTTATGGCCTTCTATACATGGTGATAATCCTAAAACTGGGTTTCACTTCTTGAATAATAGTACTGGAAACATTGATTTGGCAACCAAAACAGACATCGTTCAGCATAGTCAGCTAGAAAGAAACCACAGATATGACAGTGAATATGGTGTCAGTCATCCTCCACCTCATTCCCGTAGTGGATATAATTTGGGTTTAGAACCATGCAGCGATCTTGGTGCTAGTACCTCTGATGGCCTGCCTTGCAGTAACAAGCAAACTGTAAGTAGACTATGCTCCCCGTCAAGTGATGCAAACATTTTGCCAGAGGACGAGTCATTTCCAGTTTACCATGAATCTACCGAGGGGAACCTTGGACATCAAACGAAAAATTTTGCTCAAACAGTAGGTAATCAGAATGCTTTGCTTCTCGAAGCATCATTAAGATCCAAATTGTTTGAGCGTCTAGGCATGAGGGCAGAATCTAGAGGTGGCACATGTTTCAATGGAGAGACGGTAATAGATAGAGGGGATGAAAGTGATGTTGCAAGTGAACGAACCCACAGAGATGACAGTAGTCCTTTCTGTGGAAAAAATCAGCAAAATGATTCTCGAGGTAAGGAGTTTATCATAAGAGATTGGCATTTTGCTTAGTTATTTTATGAATTGTTCAAAAGGGAAAAAATAGCATGGTCGTTTTGCAACCTGATTTTACATTAAGTGGCTACTCTTGGAGATGATTTAGCCACGCTGCAGATAGAAAATGCATGAACTGTCGCCATATTAGCTGATTCGTGATTGAGTTCCCAAGCATTGTCCGAGATGGCTGAACCAACGTGTGGCCCTGATGTGCTCACTTACCTTTTTATTTTCAGTAAGACGTCTTCCTGTTTTCAATTTCAGAGCCAGGTGCCAATAAACTGCAAGGAATTCCCTCCAAAGCATCAGTTGAACGGAGCTCAAATGAGGAAAATTCACTAAATGTTCAGTCATCTATAGATATGGAGTCCCACATGTTTTCACCAGAGACTGACCTTTTATCGTCTGTAGCTTTGTCAGGTCCTTTATTTCGGAGCACAGTCTATCATCTGAAAGTCCCAGGGTCTTCAATTACTTCTCTGGGACCAGAATATACACTTCAAAATAAGTCATATAGCCTATACAGTGATAAAAGACAATGTAGGAGCTTGACTGAAACTACAGTATATGAGAAAAATATTGGCTTCTACGCCTGTAATTTGAAGGTGGACCCTTCTTGGCCTCTCTGCATGTACGAGTTACGGGGAAGGTGTAATAACGATGAATGCTCTTGGCAACATTTCAAGGATTTCTCTGATGACAGTTTACATCAAAGTCTACATGATCCTCCTGGTACGGCAGAAAATGTGTGTTTAAGTGTTCTAGAATGTCTTTGCTAATTGATCGGTTTGCTAATTGATCGCTGTTGCAGATGGTAGAGTTAGGTCAAACTCACATCCGAAGAATCATAATTCTTCCAAAGGATCCCAGATTTTGGACACGGTGTTTTCACCAACTTACCTTGTCTCCTTGGATACGATGAAGGCTGACTCGTGGTCTTATGAGTCCGTTCTGGCTCAAAGACATGGGCAAATGTGGTGGAAGCACTTTAGTACCTGCCTAGCCTCATCGAATTCACTTTACAGAAATGCGCCTGCAAAGGAAAATGAAGGTCGAATTGAGGTCCTAGGAAATTCAAGAACGTACTCATCATACTTCAGGATTGAGCATAGCTTGATGGTTTGTCTTTGTTTTCTCTTTCTTTTAAGTTTTGACCTTTAATTTTGCTATATCTTGCTGCAGATCTGACCATTGTTTTATTCTTTTGTTGATGTTGTTACTACCATCATGCACTGACGTGGTTGGTGCATTCGTAGAATATCCTTAAACAAGGTCCAGACGCTGCTGTTGAACCCGTGGAAATGGCTCTTATTATTTTCTTTCGGGCAGTTGACCAGTCAGAAGGCTTGATCCAGGCAATGTTGTTTGATTCCTGTTAATCTTGTTTTATATCAAATTTAGCTCTCGTTCTAATTCTAGTGACACATATTTCAGGCCCTTTCTGTGCTCTCACAATGTCTTGAAAGTGACCCAACTTCTGAGATTCTTTGGACTGTTTATCTCCTGATTTACCATGCATATGAAGGGTCAGATGGGAAACTTATGTTTCCTTATGGGGTATGTTATCGCCTGCTACGTTATTGCCTGCATGTTATGATTGATTGTTTGTGTATGTTTGCATATATTCATATATATAATCCAACTTGGTGTTTCTCATAATGTTTTACAGTTTTCATACTTCTGTACAGATATCTTGGCATATTATTATCTTTTCAGTTCATTGGCCAGTTACTAGTTAATTTTGTATCTTCAGTTCTTTACTATAGACTTTGATGCTTTATAATCTTTCTTTTTGGTTTATATGGGATAACTTTTCAACTCTTCAGGTCAAACACAGTAGCAGATCATACGTAATTTGGCTTATGTACATCAACAGTCAAGGAAAACTTGATGATCAGTTAATTGCATATGAGGCTGCCCTCTCGGAACTTTGCAACCACGCATCTGGGTCTATTGATAAGAATCATGCCAGCGCTTCCATATTAGATATTTTGTTGCAGATGTTCAACCTTTTGTGCATTTCTGGGAATGTTTCTAAGGCAATACAGAGGATATCCAAGCTTCAGGCTCCAGCAGCAGTTTCTGATGACCCTGACTTTTCACTGATGTCTCACATTCTCACATGCTTAACATATTCTGACAAATGTGTGTTCTGGGTTTGTTGTGTGTACTTAGTTATTTACAGGAAGCTGCCTGACTCTATTGTCCAACGACTTGAAATGGAGAAAGAACTACTTCAAATAGAATGGCCTTCTGTTAAACTGGATGGTGATCTGAAGCAAATGGCGTTCAGACTATTTGATATAGGGATGCGTTCCGTAGAATCTTGTACCAACAATGGGTTGTCGGAAAATGGAATAGAAAACCGACCTGCTGGGCTATTTTCTCTGAACTACGCCTTGTTTATGATTGCAGTAAATGAGTTGGAAAGCTGTAGGAACATTTTGAAGGCGTCTGTTAATCTCTACCCAACTTGCTTGGAGCTGAAATTGTTAGCACTTAGGATGCAATCGAACAAGTTAAAGAATATGTTTTCGTCTGGGTATGAAGTGCTTCTCAAGCAGGAAGCAATAGAGGCATCATGCATACAATGTATGTGGAATCAGTATGTTGAATATGTTTTGCAAGGAGGAAGCTACAACATGGCAAGAGAACTCATGTCTCGTTGGTACGTGTCAGTATGGGATATATTGCCCCGTAAGGATAAGATAGTATTGGCTAATGAAGAATCTTTATCAGATCTAAATGTTGCATCAAGTCAGGTGGATGTGATGTTTGGATATCTTAATCTATCTCTCCATAATCTACTGCAGAGTAACTGGACCGAGGCTTGCTCAGCCATTGACCAAGCACTAAAAGCTACAGCTCCTGAGCATTTTATGCACTGTCTTAGAGAGCATGCTCGGTTTCAGCTAATCAACGAATTGCAAGCAAGGGGTGAATTTTCGATCAACTTACAATTGAGATTACTCAACTCTTACTTGGATCGAGCAAATTCTTTACCTGTAAAAGAGCCACTGTCTTGGAAATTCATCAGCAACAGTGGGGAGAAACCGAGAGTCAGGAAGCTAGTTACTAACCTTCTGGCTCCAGTTTCATCTGAACACTTAGTGGTGAATGTTGTTCTTGAAGCATGGCATGGACCATCTCTTGTACCCGAGAAGCTAAATAAACAAAAGGAACTGGTGGATTTTGTGGAAACAATATTAGGGTTGGTTCCATGCAATTACCCGCTGGCTTTGTCCGTAAGTAAGCTGTTAAGGAAAGAAGAGAAACATTCAGACTCTGGTTCCTCCTCGGGTATTCATTTCTGGGCGGGTCTGAATTTGGTGAGTACAATATCTTGTGCCATCCCAATAGCTCCAGAGTATATCTGGGTGGAGGCTGGAGAAATAGTGAGCAATATCAATGGTTTCAGGAAGAGAGCTGAGAGATTCTTGAAGAAAGCTTTGTGTGTATATCCAATGTCAGTGAAGTTATGGAGATGTTACAGGAGTTTATGCAGAAGTATAGAAGAGAGAAGAGGTATTGAGATCGAAGAAGCAGCCGGAAAGAAAGGAATCACTCTTGATTGATAGTTTGAAAGTACAAGTCTTTGGGTTTGTCCCCTAAATATATAGCAGCAGTAAGAGTCAGTATATTAGTAAAAAGGGGTTCTTTTTGGTAAAGAAACTGGAAATATAGGGGGAGTTATTGGGAGAATGATTTTTAAAGATTTTTAGAGTTTAAGATTCCATTGTTATTGGTTTATAGATTCTTAGATTCCTAATAAAATCTCTTGTTATTGGTGTATGTATTTTGTAATTCTATTTAAAATCCTTTGTTATTCAAAAAGTTGAGTATTTATTGATTTTCCAATTCTATCAAATTCTAGTGTTATTGGTTTAATGATTCCTTACATATTTAGTCATTAAAAACAACTTTCAAAATACTGCAATTCTCACAAGTATTTATAGAATCTATCATATGAAGAATCTATTAAACTCTAGAAATCTGGGTAAACATTATTTTAGAATCCACAAAATTTTTTGAGAATCTTAAAATCTCTAAACTTTAGAAATCCATAAACTCTTTTAAAATCATCCTCCCAATAACCCCCCATAGTCTCAAAAAGAGGGTAAGTGAATAAGAATTCTACGTTTAACATTTCTTCTGTTGTTTTATTTTTTCAGTCTCTTTATATGTAAAAACTTACTTGAAAGTTGTGTTTTTTTTCTTCTTCTGGAATCTGAATATTGTAGGTTTTTAATGGGAAAGTTAAACAAATGCATTTCAAAATTATAGAAAGTCTATCAGCCAGAAGGTAGATCAGCTGCGTTGAAAAATTAATTTGGTTCTGTTGCACAAAATAATAATTTAACTTCAACATTTGAATAGTTTAATATATTAACAAGTATGAGTATGATTTAGTACCGTTTTTAATCTATCTTGACCCTCATTTAAGGTTTTGTCTCGTGTTTGATTAGACCTTGTATCCTTACAAAGTACCACTACACCTAGGCCGGTCACTTAGATATACAAACTTTGTATGTATAAAAAAGGTTATAAATCCATTCGGCAAGCAATGAAACAACTACGGACCAGCCAAAATAAAGTTCTCAAGAACCAATCAGAAAAGTCAACAAGAAAACACCAAAAGAGTAGAAAAGAAATTCATAAAAACCTCTCTAGCTACTTAGCTAGTAGAAAAAACCAAGCACTTTGCCCCCAACATTTTTCCTCCTTGCTTCTTCGTGGTCCATGATTCCAGCTGATGTTGTCAGGACAATGTACCCAAACTGCTCAATTTGGTACATACACTTTGTCAGATCCCATAATGATCACACACAATACGACATGAATTGAATTGGTCACAGTGATTATTCAAGAAACATCAATAATTAAGAAGGAATCCTTAGTTTCCTTTTACCAAAAAAAAAAAAAAAAGGTTAGTTTTATACCTGTCTTGAAGGGAGTAATTTGGCAGTCCAGCCTTCGATTTCCTTGACGCCAACATCAAAACGAGGACTAATAACGCCACATTTGTTAAGCCTTCCATTAAGCTCAACCACAATCTTACCGGATCTATGATCATCCACATATTCAAACTCTGCAATGTAACCTATAAAACAAATACAAAGGGAACAAATTAGTGTGTTTTAAAGTCAAAACTGAACAGCTTAGCTATAGCACATAGTTTCACAAAACCATATGATTTTCATCAAACAACAAGAAGCTCAAATAAGCGCATTAAGACAATTTAATGTACCATGTTTTTGCATCACAGTGAGAAACTTAATGATCACTTTGGAAGAGGGTCTTATCATGACTTGGCGTTTCCCTCGTTTCTCTGCATTACACATGCTCTTAAGAGAATCATTTAAGACGCTAGCCCTCACCATTGTCGCTGCTTCTACACACATCAATATAACAATTTCCTCATTAAGAGCCATGACATGTGACATCAAAAAATCATATACGTATGGTGTTGAATACAAATACAGACATTGGACCTGCCGATTTCTGTTTCAAGTCTATTACGTACAGAATATTCAAAACGTTAGAACAAAAACTTACCAAAGTTACGCAAAGAGTAGGACGAATATAATAGCGAGCAGAGTAGATTTTAGCTTTTTGGTAGTTTCAATGAATTTTAAAACTACAGTTTTTCTACGGAGAATCAATATATAGCACAGTGCACAACCCTAATCTCTCCTTTATTTTTGCTTTGCCATATATTACAAAACCTAGTTTTCGAAAAAAAAAACAAAAAAAAAAAGAAAAAGAAAGGGCCCAACCGGATTCGAACCGGTGACCTATTGATCTGCAGTCAATTGCTCTACCACTGAGCTATAAGCCCTTGTTGTCCTTATCTGAATATTAACTAATATAAACCCAAAATTGAATTACTTCGTTATGCAATTTCAAGTGTATCATCATCATCATACAGAGATTTTTAACACTTTGAAAGATAGAGAGAGGAAGAATCAAAAGAATTGGAAACTTGTATCCAACTACGAGCAGGAACTTCCTTAATTCAAAATTATTTTCCTAACAATATTTTGAAAGCTTATATTTTACCTCACTATATAAAAACAAACTTGGTTGGACAACATGGATTGTTCCAATCAGTCCGACCCCTGCAACTGTTTAAACTTTAAAGAGGTATGGACTTCATGCATGCCATGAAGATGTAAAAACTCAACAGTAGAGAGCATAATCATTGGAAAACTTGAGAGTCATTACTAAACCAAATATAAACTAGAGCTGTAGAAGTTTCATTATATAATTTCTAATCTCGTTAAGATTTTTATTACATCTATTGAAAGAAGGACCCAACATATGTTCTATCGCCTTAGCTCTCCTTTTGCTTAATCAGAGACATCAAAACTATATCCTCTCTGCAGTAAACTTGTGTGGTCTGAGGTTTTTTCTCCATCTCTATCTATGTTGTCTGTGTGTCTCGTGCTTGATGGATCTTCCACATGCCAGTTCTGTATCCCACAGACATTAAAGCAAGCTCCCATAGCATGTTTGGAATGCTCAACATATTGACTTTAGACCCGGGAATTTCAGACCATTTCACAGAGATCTCAACCATTGGAATATTAAAACGCTTGCACAAGTACACCAATTCAACATCAAAGCACCACCTGAGAATTCAAATGGGATACTCTTATTGATGTTTCTCCTGTTAGTTTTTCATCATTAATTCATTTACACATACCTTTTCAGATGGACGTTTGTGAAAAGTCTCCTAGCAGCAGCTCTAGTAAACATCTTGAAGCCACACTGACAAAAAAGAAAAAAGAAAAATGATGTTTAGTTATTATTACTCAAGAATATGTCTTGGTGAAACAAAGAGTGCCGAAGAAAACGACATATGAGATTCAATATACCACCTGTGTATCCCGAATACCAGGACCAGCAGCTAATAGAACCACAAGATGGAAACCCTTCATCAGAAAGTTGCGATACCATTTCCTCTGAAATTGACACACTGAAGTCAATTATCTAAGACACATACATGTATATGCATCTGTGTGTATACATAGAAAAAGAATGATGTTGTATCTAGAACAGACGTTTGCAAAACTTACAGTAGCAAGAGCTTTCTCCTCGAGATGAGCACGAGACCCAAATGCAGATACTTGAATATCACCTATTCTGAAATCCATTTCCTTAGATGCTGGATTTCTGATTGAATATTCTTCTCTAGCTACTGCAAGAATCTATGAGGCTAGGAGGTCAGGATATTTATAGCACAGTTTCCAGTTTTTCTGAAATTTTAATAGCCATAACTTAGGGCAGACCTGACTTTCAAGTTTTTCTAGGTCGGTTACTTTAGTTGCTCCATCAGCATCCAACATGAGAAGTAGCTGACCCCGCGAATGCATCATTCCCTATTTAACGCTTTCAAAAAGTAGAAAGCTTCGATTAATTTTTTTTTAAGAATGAAATGGCAAGTATACAATTTTACCCAGTCACATAGAATACATATAAAGAGTTGTATGCGCTAAAGAGTTGAACTCACCTTTCTTATAGCTTCTCCTTTGCCTTGATTCTTCCCCAGGGGTATAACCCTTATGTTGTCAACTGTGTGCTTTCTAACAAAATCAAAAGCTACTCTTTTTGTTCCATCAACACTTCCATCATCAACAATCACTACCTAGAAGCAGAAACCATAAACTTACTCCACTGGTGCATATAGGGTTCAAGGAATGCAACAAGATTTATTAGCAGGAGTGGGGGTAGTCTATTTGATAGACTAATAAATTGTGAGCATTGCCCTTATTTTATAGAGTTAGGTGAATTAATTATAGGGAAAAAACCTTGAAAAGCTCATACATATTCACCATAACAAAGGCCATATCTAGGTTAAGAATCCACCTCAGTGAGTTGTAAGGAGATAAAAGAGAAAACTGGAAAACATTTACCTCAAAAGAAAAACTCTTGTCCCGTGATGCACGATCTTGAAGGTAGCTGAAAACCACAAGTGAATTACAATTATGCCTCTGAAGTATGCATAATTAAGGCTTGTGCTACTGTTTTGAAGGAAGCAAACTTCTAACGAGTGTAAGCAGAGACACAATATTCAAAAGAAGCAATTACAAAAAGTGAAAGTATTTTAACTTACTCCATTGTTTCTTCAAGAGCTGCGGGAAGTCTCTGTTCTTCGTTATATGCTGGAACTATTAATGACAAATACTTTTCAGCAGGGTCGATAATATGAGGGCAAGGAACCTGATGATAAATTTTGAAAAACAGAGTCAGGAAAAGCGAACTGGATTCCTCAATCGCAGCAACAATGCCACGAACCAATGTGATCAAGCATGTCAAATCATCATGATTGACAAAACAAAGTGCTGATCTATGTATAAATCCAACATTATAATGGAACAGTTCATCGTTCTTGCTAAGCCACAAGCTAAGAGTATCCAAAGTCTGTATCTGGAAGGGACTATCCATAACCTAAAAGCTAATCGAGCACTATACCACTGAACTTGTCAAGCTTCTTTACCAAACCAAAATGCAACATTTGATACAGAAACAGTTCCCCTTAAAGTCTACATTTACAATTTGGGCAGACGCCATTTCATTCGACATACCGGCTGAATGCCAAACACGGACCAAGTATCCAAATCGCAAACGCAAGAGCTTTCTAGAGAAAATCTCAGTTCCATGAACTATATAACTAACTGATTTTAAAGTGACATACCAACACAACCCAGAAAACTAATACTAGGCCATTCAATCAGAAAAAGATAAAGAATCAGACGATACCGGTTTTAAAGATTTCGGATCCTCGAGTGTAGTCACCGTTTCCACAGAGCTGGGAAAATCCAAAAACAAAATGAAACAAAAGTTTTATTACCACAATTAGGAGTCAGAATAAGATTACAGTAATAAAAGCCCACAAATCAAGAGAATTCAAAGAAATGGAGTAGAACGTACACGTTACTGTGTCTCCTTCTCCAAGCTTCAAATACGACCACGGAGAGAAATCCAAAGAAGACAATCAGCACCAACGATAGGCCGAATTCCGCAACTGTTACCAGAAATTCCATTGTTAGCTCCCCCAGATTTCAGATCCGTTTTGCTTTACAATAGAGAGAGAGAGAGAGAGTGAAGAGGAAGAAGAAGAAGAGAGATCGAAACCAATCCGTGAAGAATAAGCAAGAAGAAAAGCTCAAGTCTCTGTAATGATTAATCCGTGAAAAAATGGTTCAATCCCTAAATTTCAGAGCTTGATTTGATTTTGAGATACCCATTTCGGTTTAACTTTTTGGTTCTACCATGCGTAGGTTCCGGTTCGTTCGGTTCTATCTGAGCAATGCCTTATTTGAACAAACCGGATACTAAACCGAATATGTTTGACTTCCGAATTCTAAGATTTTTAATTAAATTAAAAACTACAATTTTAACATTCATAAACAACATGTATATTAAAATCCACCAGAGTACATACATAAAAACAAAGAAAAATGGCTTTGCTCTTATTATATTAAAATCAAAGGATCTAGTTTTATTGATTTTATTTTATTCATTTCAGTAAATACAATATAAAAATAATTCAGAGCGTTACTGTTGTTAGTGCGCATGTGCTAGTAGTGATCGGGTTGGTAGTAGTGACCATGCCACTACCCTTGAAATCACAAGCGTTCTCGGTGCATCCTTGGCTCTGGTAGTAAGCGTTCATTACGAACGTAGATCGAGTCTTCATGTTGTTGTTATCAAAACACATGCCACCAGGTGAGATTGGCTTACAGTCTATACCTTGGCTACACACCCAATCAATATTAGCTTGTAGTTGTTTCTCTGTAGCTTCTTGTTTAGCCATACACCATTTCCCACCGCTGCTTTGTGAGCCACCGCCGCTTGGTATGTTACATGTGCTAGTGCTTGGGTTGTTAGTAGTGAACATACCGGTACCACTAAAGTTACAAGCATCATCAGGGCCCCCCTTGCTTTGGTAATAAGCGTTCATGATGTAAGAGGATCGACTCTTCATGTTGTTGTTGTCGAAACATACGCCACCAGGTGAGATTGGTTTACAATCTATACCTTGGCTACACACCCAGTCAATATTCGCTTGTAGTTTTGTGTCCGTCGCGTCTTGTTTCGCCACACACCATTTTCCGTTGGTGCTCGGTGGGATTTTAACGCCGTCTTTTAGGACTCCAACATCGTAAACCGGAGAGAAATCCGGTTTGAATAGCCCCCAATTTCTCTCACTGGTTGGACCGGGTTTCCCATCTTCGTTGAACAATGCGAATATGAAGATATCGACGTGGCGGTTGGGCATAAGCGGTGTCCCTATGACATTTGCACGCTTGATGATATTGAGGTTGTACTGTGCAGCGTTTTCAGGTGAACACCATGCAGCGTCACAAGCGGTAGGCCAACCGGTCTCCCCTATAGCCATATCTACGTCGCCAAAGCCAACAGCATTCATAGCAGAATACATTGCATCCATCATTGCGTCAAACAAGTTGTTGTACGTGTGTTGTGTATTGCTATCCGTTACTGCATTTGATGTACCAAATATTGCGTAATTGACGTTGTTCTGGTCCATCGTGAAAAAAGTGTAGGCGTTGAACATGAATGGGGACTTAGCTTGACGATGAAACTCCAAGATCTTTGTAAAAAGATCTTTTTGATCTTCATTAAATCTGCTCTTGCTTGGTGCATCACGGTTAAAGGTTATGGTATATGCATGTGGAGTTGTCACCTGACAACAAATAATGGTGGATTTACATCTCGTTGATAGTAAGAACAAATAACATTGTATTCAAAGTATATTTATGAAAATATGAATATCGAATATCTATACAAAAACATGGTTAACAATATTACATGCATCCGAATAACTTGTTGTGTTTATCCAACCGGAGTTTAAAAAAAACCACATATATAAGGCAAGTTGAATTCTGATCATCATGACTTGACACTAACCTTAATATACTCGAGACCGGAAGCTTTCAAAGCTTCATTAAGACTTTTCATCGCTGGAACAAGATTTGATATCAAGTTATTGTCTTTACTAACAAGAATCTCGTTTCCGACACAAAGGTATTTGAACTTGATCTGCTGATGGAACGGCAAGACATTGGCAGCGACCCATTGACGAGCATTTGCAACGTCGACCATCGCAGGAATGTTACCGTTAGGGACCATAATGGTGACGCTGATTTCAGTGCCCGCTAGGCCTCGGAGGATGTCGGGATTCGCATCAAAGATCTTGACACTGTCCAATTTTGTCTTTGTCTTGATGAAGTCAACCACTTGTTGAGGAGGTTGAAGGTTCCCTAGTGTTCCATAGTTGATGCCAATGGCCGAAGTCACGGCTGAGAGTTGAAAGATCATCGCAGCGACTATGGGGAGGAAAGGGAGAGTAGAACACCGTGTCGTTTTGGCCATTGCTTTGTTTGGAAGATAGATTACAGTGATTCGTTTGGATAGTAAGATTGGGCTAAGAATATGCATGTGTGTGTGTGTGTATTTATACTAATTAATATTGATTTTCAGTTTCTTAAATAAACTTATCAACAATTTTTGCTATAAAATTTAGTGGAAATGATTTTTTTAGGATATTATTTCCTCATTAGAAGTTTGATGTATTTAGATGATAAGCATGAACTTGGCATTTTATAATTGGCCTGAAAGAAATCGTACAAAATTAATTGAAGTTGACAATATGAGAGGATGATCATATAGTGTACATCTATTCATTCATGGGTTACTTAAGAGGATAAGAATTAGATGGAATATAAAATGGATAATTTGTATCTCATGAAAGATTGTATGCAGTATACATATGTAAACATCTATTGCCAATTGGGAGTAGGAGCTGGTGTAAAATTGTTTTTGAACAGGTTGCAGGCTTTTAAGTTGTGTGCTATGTGAAAGTGATATAGTGTATGATGTATTTTAAATTTCTTCTATTATCAATGACGACAAGTATTTTCCTAAAGTTTTCTAAGTAATTGAAAAGAAAAATTATAATGATCAACATAATAAAAAGTAGATAATATGTATATATGGTCCATAGAGTGCTTACAAAATAGAAAGAAATACGAAATAATTAGACAGAATGTATAATGATTTGGAAATAGCAGTTTACAAGAATAGATAATGTATTATCTCAAGAATAATAACAAAAATAAGGAAAAATATATAATTTAGATTTGTTTTGATATATGTGACATTATTGTGATATTGAAAAGTTATACTCCCTCTGTTTCACAAAAAGTGTCATTTTAGAGTTTAATTTTGTTTCACAAAGAATGTCATTCTACATTTTCATTGTATTTTTATACTAAATTTTATAATTTTACCCTTAATTTGAAACTAATTAAACTGATAAATCACTTAATTAAATAGGAGCATATATGTATATTTTAATGCTTTATTAATTTGTGTGAAATGTGTCAAAATGACACTCTTTTTGAAACAGATAGAATATAATTTACATACACATAGATTTGGATTGAACAAAATAAGATATGAACAAAATAAGAGGTAATAATAAAATAATAATGATTTTTTTGTGATAATTTTTTTTATTTACATTTTACTTTGTTTTATGATATATTTAGTAATATATTTTTATTATATAACCACTCATAACTAAGGGGGGTGTATTGGGAGAATGATTTTTAAAGAATTTTAGAGTTTAATCTATTGTTATTGGTTTATAGATTCTTAATAAAATATTTTATTATTGTTATTGGTGTGTGGATTTTGTAATTCTATTTAATTTTTGTTGTTATTAAAAAATTTGAATATTTATTGATTTTGCAATTTTATCAAACTTTAGTGGGACAATGATTTTTTTTACATATTTGGTTATTAACTTTCAAAATACTGCACCTATCATATGCATTTGTAAAAACTATCTTATGAAAAACCTACTAAACAATAAAAATCTGGGTAAACAAATTTATTGATTGGAATCTACAAAAATCTTTGAGAACTTTAAAATCTCTAAACTTTGGAAATGCACAAACTCTTTTAAAATCAACCTTCCAATAACCCCTTAATCATAACTATAATTTAACCTCTAGATCTAACTAAACCGTATTTCGTTATTTTTAACCGATTTACATTTAACCGTGTTTGACGAGGTTACAAATCGAACTCCAAATCATAACAAAACATTCAACCCAAAATCTCATATTTGAATATCTTCCACTTATGGAGGAAATCTGAGCAGCCAATAATGCAAGGAAGATGAATACCTCACACAGCATATTTTCAAAAAAAGTTTCTCCAATGAGAAGTTGTATACCACATTGGTGTAAATATTAAAAGAAGCATTGATCATAAGTTCAAAACAGTGATTTGTTAATCGTAATTTTAATTGAAACCAAAATAACATGGAAAACACCCCCCATTCAAATAAAAACATGCTTAGAACAAACTATTATGGTACCTGACGTGTATTACTTCGTATATTATCTTCTTCGTATAAGCCTAACCTCGGCTCTTATTGTAACCCCCAATTGAATCCCATTGATAAGAAAAAGAAAAAAAAAAGACTCAGCCGCAAAAATATTACACTCGAAAACGACTCAACAGAGCAAAATTCTTTGGCCTCTTGATGCCCCAAAAAACAATCTGTACAATCTCTTTAAGGAGCACGATCCCCTTGAACTCTTATCTTCTCGGGTTTGTTCCTGCGGCTAAAACCGCTCTTATTCTTCATGAATCTTTCAGACTCTTGTTCGACTTGGAGAGCAAACTGAAGCCTCTTTAGATTCTCAGCACACTGTCCGTGCATCCCTGGTAAGAACATTCCAGGGCCTTGCTGATCGATCGGACCGAGATGCCTTTTGTGGGGTGAATGCCATTTGGATCGCAGGTAGTTCAGAGATCTCCATGGAGGCAACGGCATCGAATTCTGCTTTAAGGAGAATTTGGCTGCATCGACCATTACTTGGAGGAACTGGTTTAGTCTTGCCACGGTTCCAACATAGACCACAGGGAGTGATTCCATTATTCGTTGGTAAGAATCCACGGCTCGGGCGATTTCAAAGTGACTTCTGAAGTCAATGTCAACAATGAGACGATCATCTTGGCCAACTTCAGTGTCACTCAATATAATATCTATGTATTCATTGTCACCTAAAAATTTCATAGAAACATAAAACATATCAATCTCTTACATATTTGAAATGCAGATAAAAACAACCATATAGAATGGAATTTAGGAGGAAAAACCAACCACCAGGAACTTTGCCACCGCCTTGCCATCTTGCGGAACAAACAGCAGCATCATATCCGGAAAGTCTTAGAAGCTTTGCGAGATAGAACCTGATACAACTGGCATTACAAGTACCAGATTTCACAGAGTGAAGATCTTTCTCCTTAATAGTAAGCATCAGAGTACGAACCACGGAGAGAACCTCAGTTTCGTGTTGAGCCATAGAGTACTTGAGATACTGCAGATACAAACAGATAAAGCTAATTTAACAAAAGTGTTCTCCACCTCTCCTAGAAACCGAAATACTAAAAGAGCATGCTTCCCTCAAGCCACATATATCAACTCTAGATAAGAAAAAACTACCATTCTGAGTTGCATTTTGAGGTCAGTGATAAAAAAACCATGTACAAAACAGTGTAAATGGATCATACTAAACCATGTTCGAGCATCACAACACTATAATCAGCCTCCAGTTTAAAAATGCATAACGAAAACAAATTATCCCAGATAATACGGGAATTGAAAGCCAGCAAGAGAACCAAATCGTGCGACGGTGGTACCTGAATCTTATCGGAAAGGTAAGAAGGATCTGGGAATCCAGAGTCGCTATCGCTGCTGCACCAGGAATCAGGAGCACCACCGCTTGCACCACCTCCGGTCTCGATAAAATCAGTAACCATTAGGCCTAGGTCACGTTCACCGTCGTGGCTAGAATCTCTCCCTCGATTCCACAATTCATCGGCCGGAACAACCCTCAAATCCATCCCCATCGTTCCTAATTCGATTATCTTCTTCAAATTCAAACCCAGAAGAAACTTTTAAAATTCAAACAAATTGAATTGAATTGAATTGAAATGAGTCTGTACAATAGTAATTAATAATAGAAAAACGCGTTTCTTCCTCTTTCACGAGTCTTGTGTGATTTGATTTATTATATATACCGATGAGATAGAAAGAGAGAGAGAGAGAGAGCTTTGAAGGTTCGTCGATTAGGCGTGGTGAAAAAGAGAATAATCCAGGAAGATAGGCGAAAAGGAAGATGAAGCGAAGGTCCGGTTAATATATCACTCTTGTTAAATGTCAAATGTATCCTTAACTGTTTTAATGATTAAAAACAAAAAAAGCTGTAATGAACCAAAAAAAAACAGAAAAAATGAACCAAGACAGAGAATATGGGTGATATTCATTTTAAAAAGAAACAAGAAATAGTTTTTTTTTTTATAAACTGTTCTAACAGAGCGATGGTGAAAGGGGTAAACAGGTAAATTAGAAACAGACGTGGAGGGTTGGGGGGAGCGTAGCGGACAATCGTGAAATTAAAAGTTTTGGCTTGGGGACGAAGTTAAATGGCGGCTTTTCTAAAACGTTTTTAAAAAAAATCTAGCTGACTCGGTCCATGTTATATACTATCAAACATAAATGCTTTCCTATTTAACGTTTATAGTACTAATTATAACATATAGTTTCAGTTCAAGTGGTTGTCATATACTAATAACACACATTGTTGAATTCTTAAGCCTTCAATTCAAGGGAACATGGAAAACAAAAGTGTACACAGTATTAGGCTCTTTATTTTCTTTTGTTCGTGGGCTTTTTGGGCCTGAGGCATGTGGGTATATCACTTACCATTATCCAAAACTGAATTGTCAGCCAAAACATTGGGCCACACGACCAATGTAATTTAAAACCATATTTTTTGGCAGCTAAAATATTTAAATACAGACACATACATATATATTATTATTTTTTTGTTTAATGCACATACATATATGAATACAATTACTTGTATATGGATATATAAAAAATCGATTTGAAAATCATCTGGTTTCAACTGTTGCAACAAAAACGAGAGGCAAATTTTATTGGTGTAACAGTTAAGGAAACATATATCGATTCATTTCTCTCTAGTCTCATGTGAACAATGTAAGAGAAAAACACAAAAAGAACTGAATCCTGTTTTGAAATTAGTGTATCAAAAAATGTGCGACTCTTATAACGGAGAACAAAAAAGGTGAATTTTAATTTTTAGCAATGTGTGAGTTTGTGTCTTGGGTGTGCGAGAAGAAACGGCAAAGTCCAAGTTTGAAGTGGGTACCTCCGTACGTCAAAGTTGTCCAACCCGTATATTTTGAAATAAATAAATCTCCTGTTAAGAAGAAGAAGTAGTATTTTTGGGATCTTAAAAAGTCCAAGCCATACCAAACAGACAGCGACTTATAAAACAATACGCGACTCATAAATCACATAACCTACCACCCCAAGTCAAACCTGTTTTTCCTCCTTTTTTTTTTATTCATGTATTCTCGATTATGAGTTTTTAAAAAAATCATTTGTATTCATATGTATATTTAGATATAGCTTGAGTCAATTATTTATGTATGTAAAAAACTTTCTCTGTCTAGAAAGAAAAAAAAAACCATTTCCGTACGTACGAGATGAAAAAAATAATTGAACGGACATGACATCTCGATTTTTTCATTAGCCTCTCGACAGCGAATACAAATTTATTTCGTGATTTAAGTAAAAACGTCATGGTGAACAATTTTGTCCTAGGAGTTTGGCTGCCGTTGTTAAATTATGGGTAACTACTAACTAAACGTATTATTTTCTGCTTACACTGTTATTTACACACACACGCTGACACGCACAAACATAACACATATAACCAATAAACGTCGAGTGACCAAATCAAAATAACTCGTTACGAGACAGACGTCATGTTCCGCTGTTTGTTTGTCGTCCCGTAAATGGTAAGACACGCACCGTAACATAACAAAACAAAACAGCACCCATACAAAGTAAATTTGACTAATATGTCTTCAATTCAATTTGTCAGCAAAAGAACGTTTTAGGATATTGCCAAAAGATCTTTTTAAAAAGACTTTTATACATTAAAAAAAAGGGTAATCATATCATTTCGATCAAATAGAATCCAACGACCTTTATCTTTTCGCCGAACTATACTTTTATTTCTTTTGGTTTTGTGTCCATTTGTTTGACTTTCTTTCACACATCCACAAAGAAGAAAAAAAGACCAATCTTCTCCTCCTTCTTCATCTTCTCTTCTTCTGGTCACCCCTCGTGCTTCTCATTAACACCAAACCCAAAACTTTGTTCTCTTTCTTCTTTTTTCTGCCATCTCTGTTCACATCTCTCTCTCTCAATCTTTTATTTTTTTGCCTGGAGGGTCGAAAGTTTCTATATTTCTCTCTTTTTCCTTCTCTGCTTACAACACAATCCATATTCTCAGCTCAAGAAGCTAGAGCAGAACAATCAAGAATCAAAATAAGGAGAAAACGAATCTGTTCTTAGCTGATGGGTTCTTGCTTCAGTTCTCGAGTCAAAGCCGACCTCTTCCACAGTGGTACAATCTCTCTCTCTCTCTCCCCCCCAACTATCATTCTTCTTGCAATCTCCTTTTGTTTTCCACAAGAAAATCTGGAATTATGCATCTCTCTGTTCTACTCATTACATTCGTGTGTTTAACCGGAAAATGAAAGGAAATTTCCGATTTCGATTCTGCTCAATTTTGAAAATGGTCAACATATGTGTGTGTTTGTAGGTAAGAGCAGCGATCTGTTCGGTCTAAGTCTCTCCAGTCGGAAATCTTCGTCGACTGTAGCGGCAGCTCAGAAGACGGAAGGGGAGATATTGAGTTCGACCCCCGTCAAAAGCTTCACCTTTAACGAACTCAAACTCGCCACCAGAAACTTCAGACCAGATAGTGTGATCGGAGAAGGTGGCTTCGGTTGTGTCTTTAAAGGCTGGTTAGATGAGACCACTCTCACTCCCACTAGACCTGGAACCGGTTTGGTCATCGCCGTTAAAAGGCTTAACAAAGAAGGTTTTCAAGGTCACCGTGAATGGCTGGTACAGTTTTTTCATTTCCCCACACTCGAAGTCATATATGTGTTGAGTGTGAATGTTTTGAGTCTGATTTGTTGTGTTCTGTTGTCAATTTCAGACAGAGATCAACTACTTGGGGCAGTTGAGTCACCCAAATCTTGTTAAACTGATCGGTTATTGCTTAGAGGATGAACAGCGTCTTCTTGTCTACGAGTTTATGCAAAAAGGAAGTCTTGAGAATCATCTATTCAGAAGTGAGTCATCTTATCTTTGATCAAATCTATGTTTTTGTTTGTATTTTTGTTCTGATGGAAATGGTTTAATGCAGGAGGTGCATACTTCAAGCCACTCCCATGGTTTCTACGTGTCAAGGTTGCGCTTGATGCAGCAAAGGGGCTTGCTTTTCTTCACAGCGATCCTGTCAAAGTGATATACAGAGACATTAAAGCCTCCAACATCTTACTTGATGGGGTATGTAGAGAGATGGATATTTCTAAAAATGATTAAAATGTCTTGATAATATTTTACTGATGACTATGTTTCCCTTAACAGGACTACAACGCAAAACTTTCTGACTTTGGACTAGCTAGAGACGGTCCAGTGGGTGATCTGAGCTATGTTAGTACAAGGGTCATGGGTACATATGGCTACGCTGCTCCTGAGTATATGTCATCAGGTAAAAATCTACCACTCCTTAAAATGAATTATGACTAGGTTGATCAAATATTTTAGAGCATATGGATAATGGTTTGAATCCTTGTTTTGTCTCTCCATTCTTTTAATTCTTTTTCAGGTCATTTGAATGCAAGAAGCGATGTGTACAGTTTTGGAGTTGTGCTTCTAGAGATTTTAACGGGCAAACAAGCGTTGGACCATAACAGGCCGGCTAAAGAAGAAAACCTTGTAGATTGGGCTCGACCATACCTCACAAGCAAACGCAAGGTTCTCCTAATCGTGGACACTCGGATAGACACACAGTACCTACCTGAAGAAGCCGTGAGAATGGCCAGCATTGCGGTGCAGTGTATCTCATTCGAACCTAAGTCGCGCCCAACCATGGACCAAGTAGTCCGTGCCTTGCAACAACTTCAGGACAACTTGGGAAAACCGAGTCAGACCAATCCGGCTAAGGATACCAAGAAACTAGAAAAGATTGGTTCTAAGTCATCCGAAAAACGGTTTACTCAAAAACCGTTTGGCAGGCACCGCGCATAGGCCTTTTCTTTAGAGATTTGGAAAACAGGTCAAGCCGATCACTGAATTCCCGAATGGAATTTTTTTCCGCGGGTACTCGAAACTGCGGATATCCGTTTTCGACGGATTGTATACGATTCTGGACAAACCGTGCAGGTCGAGAATAACAACGGATGCATTCAATTTTCCAGGTTACATGTCCCATACCCAAACGTTAGAAAACATGTGTGGCCTTAGGCTTCCTTGTATGCTGTTATATATATCGAGTGAAGAAGTATATATGAGGTAATTTTTGCCTCTTCTGTTGTAACTTGTAACACTCTTTGTGTTTTTGTTCCCTAATTTATTTTTTCATATCGGTATTTTTGGACTCGTAAAGAACAACAAAAATCCGAAGTCAAGTTTTATTGGGTAAATTACACTATAAATATTTAGAGATACAAAGAATTATCAAAATTTGGATGGAATGCATTTCAAATCCAACCTCTTTGTAAAATTAATTAACTGCACCAAGTCGCACACTAAACGGCAAACGCAAAACGCATCCCCTTAATGATAAATGTGTGTCGTTTTTTTCTTTCGCATTCGAACTGCGTGACGTTCTTTTGGCTTATCCCCCTTAGTGAGCAAAACTAGTCCAACTTGGAGAGAGAGCTGCAGAGAGGTTTTAGCCGCAGAAGAAAAGGGTTTACTCAGTCGTCTTCCAACTTCTGAGTGATCGAATTCAAAGCTATGATGACGACAACAACCAATACTATGGCTATGCTCCAAAACCTCGTTTTCTCTGTTCCCATCTCTCGTATGGTAGTGCGGCGTCACTCCTTCGCTACCGTCTTCGCCACTGCCTCCACAACCGTCGTACCGTCTCCCAAACCGGCCTCTGCTAAACCGGCGCGTACTCCACACATTGACTCGCAGGTTCTCCTCGGAATGTCGGAGCCAGAGCTTCAACAGCTCGCTATCAACCTCGGTCAAGTAAAGATCCGACTTTTGCAATTTAACAAGGGTTCAGGTTGATTTAGTCGATAAAGTTCTGATTTTTTTCCGGTGGGAATTTTGCAGGAAGGCTACAGAGGGAAGCAGCTCCATCATCTCATTTACAAGAGGAAGGCTGCTAAAGTTGAAGACTTTAACAATTGTAAGCAAACTCTAACCAAATTCTATGTCTTCTGAATATATCATCTTTGTAGACATTAACCAGTCTTCAATTTCCTGATGCTGAAAGTGCCACAAACGTTTCGTAAAGAGCTTGTGGATGGTGGATATAAAGTGGGAAGATCACCCATTTACCAAACTGTTACCGCCACTGATGGTACCATTAAGGTAACTTTGTGCAATGTTGAGATTTATTTTGCTTAAGTTCTGTTTGATTAGTGTTTAAGGCTTCTAGTGTTTTGGTTTTATCTTACAGTTGTTGCTAAAGCTTGAAGATAACCTATTGATCGAAACTGTTGGTATACCTGTCCAAGATGACGAGAAGGGCATAACGCGCCTCACTGCTTGTGTCTCTTCCCAGGTGAATCTGACTTTCTTATTGTTAAAGATTTGTTTTTTTGGCTCTGCATAATTGAATTTTAATACTGATGTCTTGAAGTTCTGCTTTAGGTTGGATGTCCTCTGCGCTGTTCCTTTTGTGCTACGGGAAAAGGAGGGTTTTCAAGAAATCTTCAGCGGCATGAAATTATTGAGCAGGTTTGCTTCTATATTTCCTCTTGTTTTCTGCAGCTTATGGATTATGTGAAATGAAACTATGTTCAAAGGAATCTTATTTGGGAATGATGATCAAACAGAGAGCATGATACAGATTTATGAATTTGTAGTTTTGTTCCAAGATAAAACACTTAGGATCAGATCTTAAGTAGAATATCTTATGCAATAATTCGAAGAAGACTATTGATCTGATCCTAAATGTTTCATCATAGAGACACATAAATGTTAAGAAACATATATTTGTTCCTATTTGAGACCCAGGAGAAGAATTCTTAGTAAAAATGTAATTGTTGCTTGTGTTTACAAGTGTAATTTTTAAATGTCTAGGTGTTGGCTATCGAGGATGTGTTTAAGCATAGGGTGACAAATGTGGTTTTCATGGGAATGGGTGAGCCGATGTTGAACCTAAAGTCAGTACTTGATGCTCATCGGTGTATGAACAAGGTAACATTTGCCAATAGCCTTTTTCCATTTTGACATGGTTCTGTGTAGATATAATTGAAGTTCTTGCTATGTAGGCTCTGTAATTTAATTGGCAAGCCAACACAAAAGACTTGACCATAATAAAAAAATGTTTCTCTGCACAAATACATGATTTATTTCTTTGCACAAATTTTAATTGCACAATAGTAAGACAGAGCACTCACTGACAGTAGGGTTTTCTTTTACTTAGGACATTGAAATCGGGCAACGAATGATTACAATATCAACAGTAGGTGTTCCGAACACAATCAAGAAGCTCGCCTCTCATAAGCTTCAGTCGACCTTAGCTGTCAGGTGCGTCCTAAAATGATCTTTTTTACTCAGCTTTCTTAGGTTAAGATGCCCCAAAAAAAAAAATAATATATATATATATATATATATATATATATATAAATATCTTATTTTCTAATCATGTAACATATCTTCTGAATCGGTCTCATCTCATTGAGTTTTATGTTTTCATTCTATTTACTTACTCTTGAGTTGTTCTTTTGGCGAATCAGCTTACATGCGCCAAATCAGAGTCTCCGGGAAAAAATTGTACCAAGTGCCAAGGCTTATCCGCTGGAAGCAATTATGAAGGATTGTCGTGATTACTTCCAGGAAACAAATAGACGAGTCTCCTTTGAATATGCCCTTCTAGGTGTGTGAGACTTGAAGTAAACAAAATGTCTGTTTTTCTCCCTCATTATACCACTTAATATAACAGAAGTTAGAAAAATGATGATGCAGCTGGAGTTAATGACAAAGTTGAGCATGCGGTGGAACTCGCAGAACTACTCCGTGAATGGGGTAAAACTTATCACGTAAATTTGATACCTTACAACCCGATAGAAGGATCGGAGTACAAGCGACCTTACAAGAAAGCGGTGTGTTACTAACCATTAAGCGCATGAATTCGCTATTTGGTTTGGTTTTGGATTCAAAGCCTCAATTAATTACAGATAAAAAGTCTGTAATCGCTTCTATTAACCAAAATGTGCAGGTCCTAGCGTTTGCAGCTGCGTTGGAGTCACGTAAGATTACTGCTAGCGTAAGGCAAACAAGAGGACTCGACGCGGGTGCTGCTTGTGGTCAGCTGAGGAATAAGTTTCAGAAAAGCCCTTTACTTGCTGAGACGGATAGTCAAGAATCTCAGCCAGATGCAGAAGCTGTCTCGTGTTGATGTCCTGGATTCCTGGATTGCACAATTCTCTGGTTTTGCCGTTTGATGGCTCAGCTCAACTATGTTTTAAAAAGGAGACGGGCATGGCTCAATGACGAAATGAGGATGAAGAGATTGAAGAACGTTTGAGAAGTGAGGACTTCGACAATAGCTTTATATTGTATGTTCGGCCTATACGTTTGTGATGTATACTTTGGTTTATACAAGGGAGCCAATTTAAGGAGTGTTATCAAATGAATGATATTAACAGACATCAAATGACAAATCAATACAAGTTTCAAATTGATATGGCATGAATTTTAAAATATAATTCAAAAGGTCTACTGAAATATTATACTCTTTTCCTTACGATGCAAAATATGTTATGCTTTCATCTCTATGGTCGATTTCGAATGGGTAAAAGAAAACTTGTATAACTGATTGGAAAGTAAAAAAATAAGCAACTTATAAACATAAATTTCCTTTCACCATATGAAATATAATAAACAAGAGAATTTACATAAAAGGCAAATAAAATTACATCAGAAATGAAAAAAAATACAAAGCAGTTTGCAAAACAATGCCAACATCCTTTTTTTTGTTGCATATCCTAGAATATATTTCATTACATAATATAAATTACCGACGGTTACTTTTATTTTTAAATTTTTAACTCATCTAAAAAGAAAGTAATTGTATCAGCAACTATTTTTTAAATAATTAAAAAAATAACATTTCCTAAAACATATTCATGTAATATCAATCGATTTATTTTGCATATCCTAGAATATGTCGAGTACTTTCTCTAGATCGGTTTATACTAGAAAAACTGTTCACTACATCTATCGGTTTTCTTCCCAAAGAAGAGATTGTGGTAAGCTATGTTGGACTTAGAATAATTTTCAACTATTCAATCAAGCATAACTACCCTAATAATCTAGTAAATGGTTAGAGGTAGGTAGATAGACTATTCGCTTGGAGAGAAAAATCACGACAAAACAATGTTGGTTCATCTTTAAAAAAGATCTCAATATTCCGACGGGACGGGGCGAAACAGACACATGGCTGGTGAAAAAGGGACCCCAACATGGAAAATAAGACCATGAACCTAACTTCTCTTAAACGCTATTCCAATCTAGCTCCTAGACGACACTAAGTAAACGTAAGTACCTTCCTGTTGAGACAAGACCATGACTCGATCTAAACGGCGGAATCAGATCTTAGAACTCATATCAGCTTTTGTGTTAAGATGGAGTTACAGATCGTACTTGCAGAGCTAGACGGCGCTCTCTTTTTGGGTATTAGACGTCTGGCTTAGCCGTTTTAGGTTTAGGTTTGTGAGGTCGAGAGATGGGTTTATATATAGTCCCAAGGTTTCCCTATTGGATTTTTTTTATAATTATTATGTAAAGAGTACAAAGCCTTTTCGATGAAACTGATGTACAATGGTATTAGTACTATAGTATTTAAGTTTGGGTATATTTAGTAAAACTGTTTTTGACTCTGTACAATTTTTATAATCCGAAAATATATTGATTCTTGAGATTTTTAGAAAAAAATATTTAAAATTTTGCAAGTATATTTAACTTAAAATACTATTAGCAAAAAAAAATATTTAACTTAAAATACAATATATCTTTGAATAAGAATCCCATATTCTTATAGAAAAGGTAAAGTATATCATGAAGAAAAAAGAAGATAACAAATTCATATTTTTATTTTATTAGATATTTCTTGTTTGAATAATTCTTTCTCTCTGCTTCTCGAGTATAAAAAAAAAAAAGTAAAGTGCATCAAGAAAAAAAAGGAAACAAATTAATTTTTTGATTTTATAAAATATTCCTGGTTTGAATAACTATTTCCCTTGTTTCTCAATTTGAAATGAGTAACTTTATATTTTATAAAATATTCATTTCAGTTTTATCATTAACTGCGCTAGAAATTCTAGCCTAGAATCCAGACATTCCACGTTTTACCATATACAATATATATCATTTTATTTAAAATATGTGTAAAGTTTTGTGTGTGTCCAGTGTTGTATTTAGCTACGTAATTGTTTGTAGTAAATTTTGGTCAATAACAGCAAAGGCCAAAGCATTCAGAAAAATAGTAATTCCAGATTATTTTTTTTTCTTAACTGAATGTTCTAACTTGGAAATAAAGCGTCTAGTGTTGAGTGTCGAGTCAATCATGAAGCTTTCCTAATTAGGTGGAACATGTTTTGTAAAATGATTAGATTGGTCTTTATTTTCTGGATAATAACCGGTGGTTACTGGTTAGTGGCAAATGTGAAACTGAAATTCTATAGTGCTTCATATCTTTTCTATTTCCTTTGGGATAGTCATTCATTTTTTTCCACCTCCATGCTCCATCATTGCTCTAGGATTGAATCTTCTTCTTAGGTAGATCTATTGTTTGGTTTCTTGAAGTTTTATTTGGGTTAGTATGCTTTTAAATCCATGATTCGGTGGTATTGTGGTTTCTAAGCTCAGAGATTCTGATTTTTTTTTTTTTTTTACCTTTGATGCCGTTTCAAATGTGTTTGATTTCATTTTACATGAGATTTGTTTCTAATGTTTTATCTTCTCGAAACATGTTTGATTATCAGTTTCAAATGTAACTATTCTTTCAAAGACAACACCAACTTAGGTCACAAACATTAATAACAAGAATTATGAAGCAGTGGTTAATATAAACGTTAATAATGAACAAAGAAAAGTAATTTTGCAATTAATAATGAAACTATAAACAACACAAGACTCGGCCTAAAGACTGGTACAAATACAATGATGAGAGAAAATTACAAGTGAAAAAAACTGATGTATATGATTTCTTAGACATACTAACATACCATCTTAACTTCCCACATCTCCCTTCAACATATTTGCTTCAAGTCTTGCAAAATCACATGAATCAGTGATGATCTTGACATTAACAACATCAAAATCCATCTTACTTTTCCCTCCTTGCTCTCTTTGCATATCATCATGTATCGATGATGTCTTTTGTAATTTCTTCATTACAACCATGTATCTCTTACTCTTTTGCATATCCTCGAATATGTCTAATACTACAAAGATCATCAAGATCTATCTTACTCTCTTGCATATCCTCGTATATGTCTACTATCTTAACGATTATCAAGATCCATCTTACTCTTTTGCATATACTCGAATACCACTAAAATTTTTTTGTCGATATCTATATAGGATTTATGACCTATGTTTCTACCATTCGATCAACTAACCTACAACTTTTTTATTATAAAATAGGCTAAAACATAGATCTATATCCCATTTCTACCATCTGATCTACTCAAAATACCCTCCATAAATCTTCCATTTGAGATATAGTCCATTGAACAACGTATTTCAAGCTACGGGAGCTCAAAATATAACCGAGTTTCATCATCTCAAAACTTTGACTTTCTCAAGATATATAGATTATGGATAGTTTGAGTATCACCATTCGCTTGGAGAGAAAAATCACAAAACCATGTCTTGTCAACTTAAAAACAGCGGTATGTATTCCAATGAAACCAAAAACAGAGAGGAAGGAGACAAGACAGACGCATGCTTGGTGACAAATCCATTGTATCTTCGAAGATATTATCATTAACCAACTTGTCAATCGTACTCTCACTCCTAAATCCTAATCCTAACCTAGCGCTACAGAAGATGCTATGCTACCTACTTAAAAGGAAGAATTAGCTATAAGAGTACCTTTTAATGGGACAAGATGTTGAATCAATGTAACAACAAAATCTGATCTTGAAAACCCGTCAATGTAACAGCAGATTCAGACCTCTGAATCCAAGACAACTTTTGTGTTTCACCAAAGTGGCTATTTTCTCGATCTCTTTGTAAGGACAGGAATGAGCTTGGCGGCGCTTATGTTTTTTTTTCTCCGTTTTTTTCTTTTTGACGTCACGACTAGGTTTAGGTTTCTGAGAAGTCATAAGTGTCGACTGTCGAGTAAGATTGGTTTTATATTAGACGTTTTCGTATGCATTTTTAATTTTTCTACAATCATATATAACATTAAAATTTGAGAAGTAACAAACCCTTACGACATCTTCCTATGAACATATATTTTTCATTGTTCTACAAACTTTTTAAATATAGATATGTAGTATGGTTTAGTGTTGATTAGGAGCCTTAATTGAAATATTAATCTTGGGCCAGCTTGCTTTTTTTTGGTAAAAACTCAAAACAGGCTAGCTGAAAAGATGAAATCAAAATCAGTTTTGGCTGAGAGTTGTCGCTACGGTGATGGGGTTCACGTCATGTACACCTCTAACAAACCTGTGTTTCTAATTATAGTGGAAGTCTTTTTGTGTTTTTATTTGTCATATGGATCTGATCGGCCGTTGCTCCGGCGAGTCTCATGTGATTTGCATTATCCCTTCTTAACAACCTCCTCAAGTGACCAAAAAAACAAAAGTCAATAACAGTTTTTAATGTTCTTTTAAATATTTTGTAACTACTCAATTCTCCGACCGACCATTTTAATGGCTCCCACGTTTCACTCTAATCATTCTCTCTTTCTCTACTTAGACCCGTTTCCTTCTTCTTCTATTTCTCTGAAACTCATGAAATTTGAGGAACTACTCATGGATGCTTCACAGGAACATTGTAACAAGAGACATGACTTAGAGGAAGGAGTAAGCTCCTATGTTCCTAAAAAGAAAGACTCAAACTCTTTATTCCAACTGTTACTTATATGATTTTGCAGGTAATGCATCTTAAAGAGAGACTAGAGGAAGAACAAGCAGTGAATAAAACTCTACAAGCTGCTTTTCATGGCTCTGTTGTTTCTCTTCCAAGTATCTCCTCATTGTTTCTTCCACCTCAGGTAAAAACCAACACTCATACCTCATATAATACTATATTTTCTTAATCAACTAACAGTTAAGAAGTTTGGTGTCTAACAGTTTTCCGAGCTTATACAAGAATTAGCCGTCGTGGATGCAGAGATTCAATGTCTAGACCGAAAAATCGAGGAGCTTAAGCTTAAAATATATTATGAACAGAGACAAAGGCATGATATGCATTTGCATATGACTGAGCAGAAGAGGACATTGGCAAGGCAGAGCCATGTGAGACAGAGTACTTTGCCACTGAGACATGATCTTCATCAACGATCTTTGTCTCATTGTTACCAACATTCTACTCTAGACGCTGTCTCAAGTACTCATTCAAGGCTCTCTTTCTCTTATGCTCCAGATTTCTTGGATGCCACGTCTTCAGGTGGCTTCACAGGTAAGTAGTTGCTTATTTCCGAATGTATTATATAAGCTGCACATGTCTCAAATACCGGGAAAAATTAATGAGTTCGGAGATTTCACTCAAGGTCATGGTTTTGGTGGGCAGATGAATTTGATGGAGTGTCGAGGATGCAGATGGGTAGAGTAAGAAAAGGGCTTCGACTTGTGGAAGTGAAGACCAAAGACGACCCAAACGAAGTATCTGAACAACTCATCAACTGTCTCATAGGCATTTACTTGGAACTCAATCATGTTTCATCAAAGACCAAAGGGGATGTCTCGCTTTCGAGAAGGCCCTCTTCTTGTAGCCGGAAATCAAACACATATAGTTATTATCAAAATGCAATGAATCTTGATCCTTATCACGTATTGCCAGACTCGAACGGATCAGGAGTCACCAGAGACATTGGCCCTTACAAGAACTTCATCCACATTTCAAGAAGCTCCATCGATGTGACCCGTTTCACCCACTATTGTTCACCGGCTGTTCCACGCTTGAGGTCTTACATTTCAAAATCTTAATTCACCATACGAAATGATCTCATCAAAATAGTATATATAATTCTTGATAAAATTGTGTTTATTGACGCTTTATGTGTGTTAGCAGTGACTTGATGGAGAAACTATCGGAGGTAGATTTGAGTTTTTTGACATACAAGCAAAAACTCGCCTTTTGGATTAATATCTATAACGCTTGTATCATGCATGTACGGCACATTAACAAATTATAAATTATTGAAAATTTTTTTTATAAGATATATATCACACAAAATGAAATTAAAGTCGAATTCTATGTTCCAATGATAGGCATTTCTTGAGTATGGGTTACCTTCGTCTCACAATAGACTACTTACCTTGATGAATAAGGTAACTTTTTGATCAAAATCCAAAGAGGGAACTCTAAAATCATCTTTAATTGTAAGGAATTTTCAAACTTAATGATGGCCTTTGTATGTTTTTGGCAGGCTTCACTCAACGTCGGTGGTATAGTCCTCAACGCTCTGGCGATTGAACATTTCGTTTTGCGACATCCATGTGAACCAGAACATGTAAGTGCATGCCATCTCAACAACTCATACCTCTAAATATATATTTAATTAGCACAAGAAGCTAATTAATCAACATCTTCATAAAAGGACTCGCTTGATGAGAAAGAAACTCTCCTCCGACACACTTATGGTTTAGGCTATTCAGAGCCTAATGTGACATTTGCGCTTTGCCGTGGAAGTTGGTCTTCACCAGCAGTAAGTAGACAAACATAGTTTATCTTAATTTGGTTATTACTCGTTTTTTTTTTTTTTTTTAATATTAAACTGTTGTTACCCTAGTGTCTATGAATAATGAGATTGGTATATTCATTCATGTGTAGCTTAGAGTTTATACAGCAGATGAGGTAGTGAACGATTTAGGGAGAGCAAGGGTGGAGTATTTAGAAGCCTCCGTGGGAGTTTCAAGCAAGAAAAAGATTGTGGTTCCACAGCTTCTGCAATGGCACATGAAAGATTTTGCAGATGATATAGAATCCCTCTTGGAATGGATCTATAGCCAGTTGCCTCGATCAGGGAACCTAAAGGGCATGATTATGGAATGTTTGAAGAGAAAAGCAAAAGTCCCTTTAGCTAAAATGGTAGAGATTCAAACATATGGACACGAGTTTCGTTATCTATTGTCATTGTAAATATTGAGACATCCATATGTGTAGTCTGTAACTTTTTCTCTCGTTAGTTTGCTATTTTAAACAAATACTAAAATATAGTTTGATATGACAAATTAATATTCGCGAGAAAATTCAACATGTTTGAATAAAAGCCGCGAAATTTACTCCGATGATTTCATCAATTATAAAAGTAAAGTAATGGAAATGAGTATAAACTTTAGCAAAAATTGTAAGTGGAGAAGACATGTTCCGTTCATATCACCGTAAAGGAAAAAATGAATAACAAGTAGAACAACGACTTGTGGACTTATGTTAAGTTTTGCATCAAATGCTGTCGGAAACACTTCCTTTTTTTTTTTTATATAACTTTTTAATACATCGAGGTCAAAAATCAAATCCCACTTATTAAAGGCAATTTAATAGACCAATAGCCATTGAAATGTTCTCGTTTCTTTTCTTTTCTTGACGTCAAAATTATTCTTGGTTTCTAAGTGGGATCCCCGTGGATCTAACACTATAACATGCATTCACTTTATTTCTTAACAGAAACGGTGTTGTCTAATGGCTTGTAAGATTAGTAAAAGCAGAAGATTAGTAAAAAAAAAAAAAGTATCATAATACAACCATGTTTCTTTTTGGATTACACAGAAATTAAACGTTACAAGTTGTAACTTACAACCCAAAGATGTAAAACACGTTAATAGCTGCGGGCTGTTACAAAATTTTCTCACAGCCACTTCAGCTACTCTCACTTTCTGTCCCACATATCCCCCCCTTTACCCACTCACACAAATTAAAAACACCAAACCACAAAAAAAAAAAAAGTGAAAACACACACAAAAGTCAAAGATACTTTCACCTTCTCTCCTTTTCCCATATACCATAAAATTAAAGGAAAAAAAAAACTAAAAATAAAAAGGAGGAATAGCGAAATTAGCGGAGAGTTTTCTTTTGTCTCGAACCACTTTAATTATATATTTCGATTTCCTCCAATTTTTCGAGTTTCTCGAAACTCGGCCTTAAACCCTGAAATTCTTCCCGACAAAGGTTTGACCAAACTGCCAGTTAGAAGGAACCATGTTCCACGAAGTAGATGTCCTACGGTCACTGCCCGTGACGCGGAACGAGAGTGCCTGACCAACCAGAACAGCGTTGGATTGCCAGTTTTGACCCCAGTTCCTGCTCAAACTCATCCAACCAGTCCTTGAACCTTTCACGTTTGCCCTCACTATGTCTCCTGCCCCAGCCACGTTTGTAATCAGAATCAAGTTGAAGTAACGGTGACCGTTGATTGTGAACCTTATTCCTCCTCTCTTTCTACATGGCACCCTACAAAAACCAACATTTCACACTCCTTTTAGTCACTCACACTTAACACACACAAAAATTGCTTCTAATTAAGTGTGATTTGTATGAGGGTTTTGACTTCAACTAGTATTAGTTCAAATATTAAATATGTATTAAAAAGTAATCATTTGGTATTTAAACTAAAAGTTCAAAAAGTGAACAAAAAAATGTTAAAAATAGCATCCACTAATTGTTTTTAGCCGGTTATTATGTAGATATTGCTAAATATGGTCTAATTATGTTGTAAATATTGGCAAGGTCCCTAGAGGAGGGACATGTAAACCAAGATGTGTACCTGCGGTATGAGACAGGGACAATGCCGGCGCGATATTGAGCAATCTTGAGGAAGACAGGCATGGCTAGGTCGAAGTGTTCACGTGGCGGGTTGCACCATCCTCCGTTGTCGCTGGGCTGAGCCAAGTTTGGTGGGCAGAAATTGGTTGCGGTGATGAGGATCGAAGGACTACCAGAGTGGCACCATTGAGGGTCGTTGGCGCATTTTAGCTCAAAGCAGGCTCCACAACTCATACCGTTGTTAAACAGCGCCGTGCTCAAAGCTGCCGTGTTGGTCCCGTACCCTTGGCTGTATAGGTTACCGTAACCACACGCTCCTCCTGTAATTAAACCCATTTTATTAAAATTCCAAAAGATAATTAATAAAGACTCTTTTAAAGTTTTAATGCTCTGTTTTTGTGGACTTACCCATAGTGCCAGAGGCGTCACTGCCACCGTAGAAAGTGGCGTGTGCGTTTTGCCACGCACCGCCGGAGTAAACGCCGGGGATTCTAGCGTCGGCAAGGCTAAAAAGGACAAATGTGGTAAATAGAATTGCAAGTTTAATAGCCATTTTGGTGTGTGAATTAGAGAGTTATAAATTGTACTATGAGGGTTTTGGTGACAAAAGGAGAAAATGAAGAAAGAAAGAAAGAACAAGAGCGCCTTCGAGCTTGCGCTCTTGTCAAGAGAAAGAGTTAGGTTTGTTAATTGGGAGATGGATGAGGAACAAAGGAGTGTGAGAGGGTTCGGTATTTATGGAGGGAAGGAAACTCCAATGTTAGAGTAATGAGAGATATTATTGGCTATGGACTCTTTTTTATTTTTTTATTTTTTTATTTTTTTGTCAAAATTAAACTTTTAAATTAAGATTACTAATTCTACGTAAGGTGGAGGTAGGTTTGTTTGTAACCGTTTTGTCATAATTTATATATACAATCTCTTTTTTTTTTACAGATAATATAATGATACTTTAAAAAATTATCTCATTGATTCCTGGATTTTAAAATTTGTGCGACGACTTAAATTCTTGATAATTGTTTTTTGTTTAAAGAAACTTTTCAAAAGAATATCGAGTTGACCTTTATTTGAAGCGTTTTCATACTTATGATGGTACGAGTTTATACTATTTTTATAGTTGATGCAAGTGTAAAATTATGCTTGTTTTGCTGACCAAAATAAATGCAAACATAAGAGCCTTTAATATATGTCTTTTTGAATCTGCTTGTTTTTTTCCACTTCTTTTAATTTACTTACGCGGGTTGTCTATTTCGAAGGTGAAATTGTTATATGCAAAATACCATGAATCTATATACAGATTCTTTCTTCTTTTTTCTTGAAATTAATAATTCTATAAAGTAATACACTGATGGAAAACAAACTAGTACATTTCTCTAAGAAATATGCGCTCTTGAGTAAAGTGATGTCATATATAAGAATCTGTGCATGCAAAATTCAGACACAACCCAAATGCGGTCAGCTCATAGTTCAGTGCTACACACTCCAAGTTTAGTTTTGAATCCGCCACAAATAATATGAAATCTGGTCTGAAATATTGAGATATATGAAAATAACAGAGCATATATCCAAAATAATAAAGGAGTTTGCAGTAAGTGTGAGTTTTATTGGCTAATGAGAGTACTATACTACTATTACAAATCGGGTTAAGTAAAAAGGAATATATATGGTTTGCTTAAAAAACAAGTTGTAGTAGCAAAGCATCAATCACGAACGGGATTTGCTAAGCTCAACAGTATCGCCATCATTACTTCCCTTGCTCATTTTTATTGGTCAAAAACACTTTTTTCTTCTATCTTCTCATGCATGCCATTGCCATTTGCCACTACTTTTACATATCTAATTTTGCCCAAAACTCAATACTAACCTCAATTATTAATCATTCGTTATGATACGTACTACTAGTCTCATTTTTTACCGAATAATGTTCCGATTCAAAATTTGTAATTTATTTGCAGTGTTTTACTTTTACATTGCCGCCAAATTATATACCCTCTACTTTAGGAAGAGGTAGAGAAATTAAAGACTCCCCCACACTTACATAGAAAAAAGGAATTTTTATTTATTCTGGTTTTGTAGTTTGTAATGAAAACAAGTTTCAAAAAGAAGGAAAAATTAAAATATGGACCCTTATTTGCCGCATTCATCGGACCACGTATTGCGCCGTGCATTAGCCGTACGTAAAGTGGATACACCCGACCCGACCCGATATCACTCGGATCTATCCGGTCAATGTTTTTATGTCACGAAACTGTCTTTCAAAGAGATCAGCTTTCTCCACTTCTTATTAGTTTCTCACTTGAGAATAGTCAAAGCCTCCGTTCATATCTCTCCCTCGCTCCTCCGTTCAACATTTCTTTACATATTTAATATACTTCATCAGTAATATTTTGAAGAAGATGGGATCCAAGAATTTTTGTGTATGAAATTATAAACATAAACTAGTTTACAAGTTTGAAAGCTTAAGAAGTAATGGACGACTACAGAGTTAGACTTTAGTGTTTCTCTATATATATTTTTAAAACATCCCATCTTCAATTATGACTAAGTAACGTCTCTAATTAAACTACTACTGATTAGCTTTTGTTATTGAGCTACATGATCATATATATATATATATATATATATATATATATATATTTTTTTTTTGTTGGGAAAAAGAAGATGCACACTAACTGATCACTTTAATCTTTATGTATCCGGCGCGCGACGCGACCATCATCAAAAACATCAAAACCTAAATAGTAATATAAAATTAGACGATCGTTAGTATCAAATTCAAGTTAATGTCGTTAGTTTTTCCCTAAAAAAAAATAAAAATAAAAATAAAAAATGAGAATGATGTTGAATAGCAAAATTTGGAAAAAGAGGAAAACAGTTAAGAGGCGGTGACCGAGAGAAGAGGATGACAAGGCATATCTATGCACCAACCAGATCTTCTTGTATCTACCACGTCAGCCCAATCGGCGCCAGCGTCTCACATCTGTTTCTTTCTTCTGTCTGATTTTAGATTTTCTAAAATTGTAACCATACGTCATACACTGATACGTCCACGTATATATCGCAGGTGTCTGATTGTCTGAATAGCAGGTGTATCCGTAGACCGTATGTATGAGAGTATGTATATATAAGATATTTGTTTTTCTTTTTATGTTCACATATGCGTTATGTTTTATGAATCCAGTTTATTGCGAAACATCAACGAAGACATAGTTTTACTATTTTACCTAATCTGGCGACGTGTTGGTAGAATACAATTTCCGGAATTATCGATTTAATGAATGTATTTATATGTGTACATCCAAAATACACATGCAAGCATATATAGTAAGTAGCTTGGGAAGCCTTTATTATTTTATCGTGAGAACACAAATGCACTTGCATGTGAATTAAGTATCTACCACTCCTCTCCCAACGAATTCACGTCTTTACATTTATTTCGTTTCAGCATGAAAACATTCATTTATATTATTCAGCTTCTTTTATTTTAAAAAGTAATATCGACTGAAACGGACTAAATTAATATGCCGTATGAGTATAATTTAGGTATATAGCCATCGACTGAACCAAACATTGCTTTTATAAGTGAAACCATATTAGCATTTAGCAAGAAGTACCTGCAAACTAATCAGTCTGGGCCAGCTTATATTTCTATAAACCATAACCCAACTATTTTTTAGAAAGAAAAAAATATAATATTTTATATTTTTTTTAATAATATGGTTAAATACAAAATGATGGTCTTTCTTAATAATGGCTATAATTATACCAAATATAATCTATACATGAGTAGTGTGAATGTTCATTGAGTTGTATATTTAATACTTAGGCGTAAGATATAAGTACGTGTAGATTGCTGATTGAGCTACATTCACGCAACACATTATATCATTACCAAATTCTTTTATATATTAGTTAAAAGTATAATTACATATATCGTGCATCTAGTTTATATATTTCTTATACCGACAATATAGTCTATTTACATAACATTTTCGCCACTGAACAAACATATCATTTGAAATCTTCAATGAGAATGAAAAAAAAATTGTATACCTTACCAGCCAAAAAAAATTAAATCTAAAATGATATATTTTACACACATATTGTTTGTTCTTTAATCTAAACTTAGTTACACTCTTTCAAGTATGTAAGAGTAACGAGTAAATCCTACTCAAATTTAAGAATTGAGAACAATTTGAACATCATCTTATACGAGAGTACCGTGGGGTCGTGAATCATGAGTTGGTATATATAAGTGGGGGAAAGAGAATTTGTAATTGCCAAAAAAGTTAATTGAAACCACACATGCTATGTCCACAACTACATTGTAAGAAAGATTCCCCTCGAAACCTAGCTAGCAATAAAAACAAAGAGATCTATAGTTCGTTTTTTTTTTCTTTCAAAAAATTCAATTTACAAACAGATAAGTTAACACATTTTCTTTTGACAGCATTTTCAACGATTATAGAAACATCGTTAAAAAATATTGAAATTTGCACTAGTCATTAAGAAGGTTGAGAGACTTTAGAGCATACTCTTTAATATAAGCTATTTTCGATACTAAATTACTAACTAAATAAAGTAAACGCTACTTCATAATTCCCAATGGAAAATTTGGGCAAGCTATGGTGACATATTGGGGGGAAGGGGGGGGGGTCTGTGTCTAAAAAAATAAGTGGATTCCTTTGAAACCACCACGTGAGGTCAGTAGAAAAACAAACAAATAAAGGAAAACATGTCATGCAGAGATTGGCGATATCAAAAGAAGAAGATCTCGTGGCTACATATGTTAAAAGGGTTTGAGATTTCATGATGTTACGTTCGAAGAGGATATGATGACGATTTGCAACGCGAGGAGTTTTTGTCGCTTCATGGTTGCTTTAGCATGGTTTACTCTGTCATGTATATTCTCGAAGACATTTCTAAAACAGTTAATAAGAGTGAGTTCCGCACCGACACTCTAAGGAAGTGGTAGACAAATGATTTTCAAAATAAAAATACTTAGTGTTTTCATTCAACAATGAATTTTCGAATATATTATATATACTAGAAGATTTGATAAGTTTTTAGTTGATATACATTGGCTATGAGTGATATAAAAACTTAATAATTTGGGCGCCTAGCTAGTGGTGATGAGAGTAGAGAGTTAGGTCCTTCCAAAAAAGGGTGTAGTCTGGTCTTACTGATTTGCGTTTCGATTTAAAAAGAGCTGTCTAGTTCCTACGGAGACATGTATAATAGACTTCGGCCACGGTTTTCTTCGATTAAATTATTTCTGTTTCCATTTACTACTAAATTTCTATTTTATGTCTTTGCTACTAATATGGATAAATCATGAAGTTTATACTATTTTATAGTTGATTCAGTAATATAGTAGAGTTTAATGAAATACCATTTTTTTAATGGAGAAATGTTCTAAAATATTATCTAAGTTAGGAATAGATCAGCTTTTCATTATTATTTTTTAAGTCGATAAAGATTGGGAGTTTACACAGATCTTATTACTTACAAGAAAATTTAAAGCTAATGTTGGCAATTTGTAATATTTTTGAAAATAGACATGGTCACATGGAGTGATACTAGTAGTATCATACTACACATTTTCGGCACTTTTAACAAACCTCTCAATTAAATTTGAAATTGATCATCGCCACTTGTATAATTTCCCTCGCGCATGCTATAGCCAATTTAGGGGCTCTAGTAAGAAAAAAG